CACTAACCCATGCATATCGTCAGATGTGTAAGACACTAACCCATGCATATCGTCAGGTGTGTAAGACACTAACCCATGCATATCGTCAGGTGTGTAAGACACTAACCCATGCATATCGTCAGGTGTGTAAGACACTAACCCATGCATATCGTCAGGTGTGTAAGACACTAACCCATGCATATCGTCAGGTGTGTAAGACACTAACCCACTAACCCATGCATATCGTCAGGTGTGTAAGACACTAACCCATGCATATCGTCAGGTGTGTAAGACACTAACCCATGCATATCGTCAGGTGTGTAAGACACTAACCCATGCATATCGTCAGGTGTGTAAGACACTAACCCATGCATATCGTCAGGTGTGTAAGACACTAACCCACGCATATCGTCGTGTGTAAGACACTAACCCATGCATATCATGTGTGTAAGACACTAACCCATGCATATCGTCAGGTGTGTAAGACACTAACCCATGCATATCGTCAGGTGTGTAAGACACTAACCCATGCATATCGTCAGGTGTGTAAGACACTAACCCATGCATATCATCAGATGTGTAAGACACTAACCCATGCATATCGTCAGGTGTGTAAGACACTAACCCATGCATATCATCAGATGTGTAAGACACTAACCCATGCATATCGTCAGGTGTGTAAGACACTAACCCATGCATATCGTCAGGTGTGTAAGACACTAACCCATGCATATCGTCAGGTGTGTAAGACACTAACCCATGCATATCGTCAGGTGTAAGTAAGACACTAACCCATGCATATCGTCAGGTGTGTAAGACACTAACCCATGCATATCGTCAGGTGTGTAAGACACTAACCCATGCATATCGTCAGGTGTGTAAGACACTAACCCATGCATATCGTCAGGTGTGTAAGACACTAACCCATGCATATCGTCAGGTGTGTAAGACACTAACCCATGCATATCGTCAGGTGTGTAAGACACTAACCCATGCATATCGTCAGGTGTGTAAGACACTAACCCATGCATATCATCAGATGTGTAAGACACTAACCCATGCATATCGTCAGGTGTGTAAGACACTAACCCATGCATATCGTCAGGTGTGTAAGACACTAACCCATGCATATCGTCAGGTGTGTAAGACACTAACCCATGCATATCGTCAGGTGTGTAAGACACTAACCCATGCATATCGTCAGGTGTGTAAGACACTAACCCATGCATATCGTCAGGTGTGTAAGACACTAACCCATGCACTAACCCATGCATCATGGTGTGTAAGACACTAACCCATGCATATCAGTGTGTAAGACACTAACCCATGCATATCGTCAGGTGTGTAAGACACTAACCCATGCATATCGTCAGTGTGTAAGACACTAACCCATGCATATCGTCAGGTGTGTAAGACACTAACCCATGCATATCGTCAGATGTGTAAGACACTAACCCATGCATATCGTCAGGTGTGTAAGACACTAACCCATGCATATCGTCAGGTGTGTAAGACACTAACCCATGCATATCGTCAGGTGTGTAAGACACTAACCCATGCATATCGTCAGGTGTGTAAGACACTAACCATATCATGCATATATCATCAGGTGTGTAACTAACCCATGACATCGTAAGACACTAACCCATGCATATCATCAGTGTGTAAGACACTAACCCATGCATATCGTCAGGTGTGTAAGACACTAACCCATGCATATCTAACCCATGCATATCGTCAGGTGTGTAAGACACTAACCCATGCATATCGTCAGGTGTGTAAGACACTAACCCATGCATATCGTCAGGTGTGTAAGACACTAACCCATGCATATCATCAGGTGTGTAAGACACTAACCCATGCATATCGTCAGGTGTGTAAGACACTAACCCATGCATATCGTCAGGTGTGTAAGACACTAACCCATGCATATCGTCAGGTGTGTAAGACACTTAACCCATGCATATCGTCAGGTGTGTAAGACACTAACCCATGCATGTGTAAGACATATCATATCGTCAGGTGTGTAAGACACTAACCCATGCATATCGTCAGGTGTAACCCATGCATAAGACACTAACCCATGCATATCGTCAGGTGTGTAAGACACTAACCCATGCATATCGTCAGGTGTGTAAGACACTAACCCATGCATAACCCATGCATATCGTCAGGTGTGTAAGACACTAACCCATGCATATCGTCAGGTGTGTAAGACACTAACCCATGCATATCGTCAGGTGTGTAAGACACTAACCCCATGTCAGGTTATGTGTAAGACACTAACCCATGCATATCGTCAGGTGTAAAGACACTAACCCATGCATATCGTCAGGTGTGTAAGACACTAACCCATGCATATCGTCAGGTGTGTAAGACACTAACCCATGCATATCATGTGTGTAAGACACTAACCCATGCATATCGTCAGGTGTGTAAGACACTAACCCATGCATATCGTCAGGTGTGTAAGACACTAACCCATGCATATCGTCAGGTGTGTAAGACACTAACCCATGCATATCGTCGTAAGACACTAACCCATGCATATCGTCAGGTGTAAGACACTAACCCATGCATATCGTCAGGTGTAAGACACTAACCCATGCATATCGTCAGGTGTGTAAGACACTAACCCATGCATATCATCAGTGTGTAAGACACTAACCCATGCATATCGTCAGGTGTGTAAGACACTAACCCATGCATATCGTCAGGTGTGTAAGACACTAACCCATGCATATCATGTGTGTAAGACACTAACCCATGCATATCATCAGGTGTGTAAGACACTAACCCATGCATATCGTCAGGTGTGTAAGACACTAACCCATGCATATCGTCAGGTGTGTAAGACACTAACCCATGCATATCGTCAGGTGTGTAAGACACTAACCCATGCATATCGTCAGGTGTGTAAGACACTAACCCATGCATATCGTCAGGTGTGTAAGACACTAACCCATGCATATCGTCAGGTGTGTAAGACACTAACCCATGCATATCGTCAGGTGTGTAAGACACTAACCCATGCATATCGTCAGGTGTGTAAGACACTAACCCATGCATATCGTCAGGTGTGTAAGACACTAACCCATGCATATCGTCAGGTGTGTAAGACACTAACCCATGCATATCGTCAGGTGTGTAAGACACTAACCCATGCATATCGTCAGGTGTAAGACACTAACCCATGCATATCATCAGGTGTGTAAGACACTAACCCATGCATATCGTCAGGTGTGTAAAGACACTAACCCATGCATATCATCAGGTGTGTAAGACACTAACCCATGCATATCGTCAGGTGTGTAAAGACACTAACCCATGCATATCGTCAGGTGTGTAAGACACTAACCCATGCATATCGTCAGGTGTGTAAGACACTAACCCATGCATATCGTCATGTGTGTAAGACACTAACCCATGCATATCGTCAGGTGTGTAAGACACTAACCCATGCATATCGTCAGGTGTGTAAGACACTAACCCATGCATATCGTCAGTGTGTGTGTAAGACACTAACCCATGCATATCGTCAGGTGTGTAAGACACTAACCCATGCATATCGTCAGGTGTGTAAGACACTAACCCATGCATATCGTCAGGTGTGTAAGACACTAACCCATGCATATCGTCAGGTGTGTAAGACACTAACCCATGCATATCGTCAGGTGTGTAAGAAGACACTAACCCATGCATATCGTCAGGTGTGTAAGACACTAACCCATGCATATCGTCAGGTGTGTAAGACACTAACCCATGCATATCGTCAGGTGTGTAAGACACTAACCCATGCATATCGTCAGGTGTGTAAGACACTAACCCATGCATATCGTCAGGTGTGTAAGACACTAACCCATGCATATCGTCAGGTGTGTAAGACACTAACCCATGCATATCGTCAGGTGTGTAAGACACTAACCCATGCATATCGTCAGGTGTGTAAGACACTAACCCATGCATATCGTCAGGTGTGTAAGACACTAACCCATGCATATCGTCAGGTGTGTAAGACACAACCCATGCATATCCCACTAACCCATGCATATCGTCAGGTGTGTAAGTAAGACACTAACCCATGCATATCGTCAGGTGTGGTGTGTAAGACACTAACCCATGCATATCGTCAGGTGTGTGTAAGACACTAACCCATGCATATCGTCAGGTGTGTAAGACACTAACCCATGCATATGCGTCAGATGTGTGTGTAAGACACTAACCCATGCATATCATGTGTGTAAGACACTAACCCATGCATATCATGTGTGTAAGACACTAACCCATGCATATCGTCAGGTGTGTAAGACACTAACCCATGCATATCGTCAGGTGTGTAAGACACTAACCCATGCATATCGTCAGGTGTGTAAGACACTAACCCATGCATATCGTCAGGTGTGTAAGACACTAACCCATGCATATCGTCAGGTGTGTAAGACACTAACCCATGCATATCGTCAGGTGTGTAAGACACTAACCCATGCATATCGTCAGGTGTGTAAGACACTAACCCATGCATATCGTCATCATGTGTGTGTAAGACACTAACCCATGCATATCGTCAGGTGTAAGTAAAGACACTAACCCATGCATATCGTCAGGTGTGTAAGACACTAACCCATGCATATCGTCAGGTGTGTAAGACACTAACCCATGCATATCGTCAGGTGTGTAAGACACTAACCCATGCATATCGTCAGGTGTGTAAGACACTAACCCATGCATATCGTCAGGTGTGTAAGACACTAACCCACACTGTGTTTAAATAGGGCAATGAATGCATATAGTAAAACTCGTGCAGGTGTTCAAAACACGAGGACGATTGATGCATGTGGAAACACTTGTGGTGAAGTATTCCACTTCATCAACATCTTCAGGCTTGTGGATGGTGGTTTAGTTACACTCTGTCTGATTTGTGTTCAAACAGGATAATGGAAGACACACATCGGCCATGATACACAGGGCACACAATACACACATACCCAGCAAACATGAAGTAGGTAACATAACAACACCACTGAAGCTATCGGATGTATTACTTTTAAAACAATCAAAAACAAAGTATGAAGAGATCAAAAGATGCTCGTTCAAATCAACAACAAAGGCTGGCTACAGTTCCAAAAGCAGTTTCTTTGTTATCCCTGGCTATATCTACACATAGAACATCAGAGTGCATGCTACCACCAGCCCAGATAAACACACTAGCCCCCATACAATGCAGTCTACTGGCCCCCAATACATCATCTCACAGGCCACAATGTGTTACATGTGATGCTTCATAAATGGCGTGGGTATAATGTGAACTATAGAATGCAAAACAACCTTGTGCAATTTTAGTGTTTAGCTGTCATGTCCATCCAGAACTTCACAGCCACCAATTTAATGAAACACTAACAGAATAATTTCATCAGGAACAGTATTCCATATTTCAAATGAAATACATCATATACTTTTCCAACAATCATAAACTGTTTTCTGAAATCAAATTGTGCAAGGGATTTCTAAGTCAAGTATAAAATTGTGATCAAATGGGTTTTTTAATACTGAACAGTAAGTAATAATTGTGTGCCGACATGCGCTGAAATGAACAACATGCAATACAGGTCATCTTTGGTTTTCTATGTAGATCAGTTATACAAATAAGCACCATCAGGACAATGATTGTCTGAAATTGAATTATTTAAGTACAATTAAACACATAGGTCTCTGCACCATATATACAGCAACAAAACTGACATGGAATGAGACTGTATAAACTGCTGCGTATCAGGAGTACCAAACAGCAGATTCAGTCATACCCCCGACATAATTAACAAATCACTAGACACCCTCGGCAGGCAGGCAGCCACCAGCTGTGTGAAATATTTCCATGCTCATTAGGTGTAGACTAGACACAATTAAATAGTACCAGTATGTTGGAATCCATGTTAATTAGACAGTCACAAAGAGACAGCTTAACAAGATTCAATAATTGCTTGTGGTAGTTTAATTAGCTACTATTAGTTGTACAGCTGACATGCTGATCTGGCTAGAGTAGCATCTGCTATAATACGTTGCCTATGTGTCCTGCTATAACATGGATGTGGCTCAGATATTGTTCAGTTCTAACACAAATTTAACAAACAGTTGATCGGTCATCAGTAGTATGTTGGTTTCTGATTATTCTTAGCATCACACAAGGCTAGAATCCTTCACAACATCAGCATCTTAGGAGTTCTTCTCTGGGACTTTGACCACCACCTGTTGAACAACAACATATCGGTTTCAGCAGTTTGGACAAGCAATAATACACAGTTGATGTAACAACAAATCTGAGTGCAATATTATCACACATTCCCGAGGGAGATGCAATGTTTGAGATTTAGTATTTTGCCTGTGTTATCATATGCTTGATCAAGCGGTATACGATACCTACATGCCATCACAAACAGAACAAGCAGTGTCACTAAGGTGACATAATCCCCCGCCGTAAATTATCAAATCAAACTTATAAAGTAATGAAAGTTTAAGATGAAGTTAAATGTCAACAAAAACATGACCAGTCAACCTCTCTTGATATCTTGCTCTTTAGTTGTTCAAACACACACATATTTTCAAGACTGACTTTGACCTTGGCATGAATGTCATAGTGTAGGCAATATTCAAAAATAGTACTAAAGAAATTGCTTATTGAAAACCATTCAAGGGAAGTCTTGAAAGTGTATGAAGAAAATCCAGTGAACCGTTCTTGAAATATCTTGCTGACAATTCAGGTTAACATGCTGAAATCTTCAAAGTGTTGTCTTGACCCTGAACATTATGTGACGGTCACCAAAATTGACTGGGCCCTGGGCCTTCCCTAGACGAAGATTGGTGTCAAAAATGAAGAAAATCCAGTGAATATTTTTTGCCATATCTTTCTGACTATCTTCACGCGGCGGGGGATAACAAAGCTATGGCGCTGAATGTGTTCAGGGTTTTCAGAATAGATATATCATACATCGGGCATTGGACAATTTCAGCATCCTTCCAGCCACATCACCACATACAACGTTTCATACATATTACCCCTTGAAAGTAGAAACCTGCCTTGTGCATGGCAAAAGAACACCCTCAACCTTCCTCTCTTACCTCACAGGCACATTTATGACCAACAATGCAGATTTTCTAAATAATACCCCTATAGCCATATGCTCTGTTTTGGCTGTCATCATAATCAATTATCTGTAAGACTTTTTTCAACAGAGGTCCTTTTCAATGCCAACTATCTTATTTGTTTTAAAATAAATGCCATGTTGAGGTTTACCGCAACTATGCATGCACAAGGCAGGACAACATCACCTCAACCTTCATCAGTAGTTAGATCAGGGTAGAGGGAGGGAATGATTTCTGATGTAATAGAGGTAGTATTCCAAGAACTATTCACCATGGTAACTATTGCTTGTAGTTCCTGTGACTAGTGTACCTCTTACCTCACTTTCACTGATGTAACAACAAACTTGCTTGTTCAAATACTACTCACATTTTTCACTTCATGTACTGCTGAAGGCCATATTCACCCCTGAAGTGAAAAATAAGATAAATACAACCACATGTACTTTAAAAGCTGGGACAATAATCCCTGAAGCTCTTCACAATATACTTAAATAAAGTTTAGTCGTGTTTGTAGTTTGGAGACAGAAGTCTCCAAGCAAAATTGCAGCTATGGCAGACAAATTGAAAATCTATAATAACCCTTTGATTATATTCTGGTGTTAATGTATGCACACAAAGTGCTATAATTCTCCTCCAGTAATAAAATATTACCACCTAAATGGACATATTAAACTAGACGGTAGAGAACCAGTACTCACATCTCTCTCCCGAGGCCGGACATCTTGAAGCCTCCAAATGGTGCTTGTGCGTTAACAGACAAATAGCAGTTGACCCTGCAAAGGGCAGATAATCCATTAATACCTAAGATATTTACTAAAGTTTTGTTACCTTCACACATTGGGAACAATTAATAATAACTAACACTGAAATCTTTTGAATTCAGCATTAAGCATTTTTAAAGAATGCAAGGCCAGGGAAAGATAAGGTACGGCAAACCAATGAAATAACACTACCAAAGTGGATGGCATCTTGAGCTAAAATAACAGGTTATTGGTCATAAAAATGTTAAACTTTTCAGTATGGTCAAACTGTACAGTCAACAATATCGCCAGAAAGACAACATATATGTCCCACTACTAGTACAATTGAGGCCATATTGTAACATCAATTATTGTGCCATGAAAATATGTACCCCATCAGAGTATCAAACTTGGATAACACCACAAGCTCATAGGACCTATCATTGAGGCCAGGTGAGTTGATAAACTAGCTTTACAAGGTTCATAGGACCTTTCATTCAGGCCAGGTGAGTTGATAATCTAGCTTTACAAGGTTCATAGGACCTTTCATTCAGGCCAGGTGAGTTGATAAGCTGGCTTTACATGGTTCATAGGACTTTACACTGAGGCCAGGCGAGTTGATAATCTAGCTTTACAAGGTTCATAGGACCTTTCATTGAGGCCAGGTGAGGCCAGGTGAGTTGATAAGCTAGCTTTACAAGGTTCATAGAACCTTTCACTGAGACCAGGAGAGTTGATAATCTAGCTTTACAAGGTTCATAGGACCTTTCATTCAGGCCAGGTGAGTTGATAAGCTAGCTTTACAAGGTTCATAGGACCTTTCATTCAGGCCAGGTGAGTTGATAATCTAGCTTTACAAGGTTCATAGGACCTTTCATTCAGGCCAGGTGAGGCCAGGTGAGTTGATAAGCTGGCTTTACATGGTTCATAGGACTTTACACTGAGGCCAGGTGAGTTGATAAGCTAGCTTTACAAGGTTCATAGGACCTTCCATTCAGGCCAGGTGAGTTGATAAGCTGGCTTTACATGGTTCATAGGACTTTACACTGAGGCCAGGTGAGTTGATAAGCTGGCTTTACAAGGTTCATAGGACCTTTCACTGAGGCCAGGTGAGTTGATAATCTAGCTTTACAAGGTTCATAGGACCTTCCATTCAGGCCAGGTGGTGAGTTGATAAGCTGGCTTTACACTGAGGCCAGGTGAGTTGATAATCTAGCTTTACAAGGTTCATAGGACTTTCACACTGAGGCCAGGTGAGTTGATAAGCTGGCTAGCATTTTACAAGGTGAGTTGATAATCTAGCTTTACAAGGTTTCACTGAGGCCAGGTGAGTTGATAAGCTTTTACACATAGGACCTGAGGCCAGGTGAGTTGATAATCTAGCTTTACAAGGTTCATAGGACCTTTCATTCAGGCCAGGTGAGTTGATAAGCTGGCTTTACATGGTTCATAGGACTTTACACTAGACTTTTACACTGAGGCCAGGTGAGTTGATAAGCTGGCTTTACAAGGTTCATAGGACCTTTCACTGAGGCCAGGTGAGTTGATAAGCTGGCTTTACATGGTTCATAGGACTTTACACTGAGGCCAGGTGAGTTGATAATCTAGCTTTACAAGGTTCATAGGACCTTTCATTCAGGCCAGGTGAGTTGATAAGCTAGCTTTACAAGGTTCATAGGACCTTCCATTCAGGCCAGGTGAGTTGATAAGCTGGCTTTAGTTGATAAGCCTGGTTCATAGGACTTTACACTGAGCCAGGTGAGTTGACACAAGGTTCATAGGACCTTTCACTGAGGCCAGGTGAGTTGATAATCTAGCTTTACAAGGTTCATAGGACCTTTCACTGAGGCCAGGTGAGTTGATAAGCTGGCTTTACAAGGTTCATAGGACTTTTCACTGAGGCCAGGTGAGTTGATAATCTAGCTTTACAAGGTTCATAGGACCTTTCACTGAGGCCAGGTGAGTTGATAAGCTGGCTTTACATGGTTCATAGGACTTTACACTGAGGCCAGGTGAGTTGATAATCTAGCTTTACAAGGTTCATAGGACCTTTCACTGAGGCCAGGTGAGTTGATAAGCTTTACATGGTTCATAGGACTTTACACTGAGGCAGGTGGTTCATAGGACTTTACACATAGGACCTTTCAGGCCAGGTGAGTTGATAATCTAGCTTTACAAGGTTCATAGGACCTTTCACACTGAGGCCAGGTGAGTTGATAAGCTGGCTTTACAAGGTTCATAGGACTTTACACTGAGGCCAGGTGAGTTGATAATCTAGCTGGTTCATGGTTCATAGGACTTTTTCACTGAGGCCAGGTGAGTTGATAATCTAGCTTTACAAGGTTCATAGGACCTTTCACTGAGGCCAGGTGAGTTGATAAGCTGGCTTTACATGGTTCATAGGACTTTACACTGAGGCCAGGTGAGTTGATAATCTAGCTTTACAAGGTTCATAGGACCTTTCACTGAGGCCAGGTGAGTTGATAAGCTGGCTTTACATGGTTCATAGGACTTTACACTGAGGCCAGGCGAGTTGATAATCTAGCTTTACAAGGTTCATAGGACCTTTCATTCAGGCCAGGTGAGTTGATAATCTAGCTTTACAAGGTTCATAGGACCTTTCATTGAGGCCAGGTGAGTTGATAAGCTAGCTTTACAAGGTTCATAGGACCTTTCATTCAGGCCAGGTGAGGCCAGGTGAGTTGATAAACTAGCTTTACAAGGTTCACAGGACCTTTCATTCAGGCCAGGTGAGTTGATATACTAGCTTTACAAGGTTTCGTGATTCACTGCATGGCACTATTTCACATATGAGTCACTGTGATGTAAAACATGTCATCGTTGGATGTAGAAAAGCACCACAATTCAATATCTCTTATTTTTCCCCAAACCTGAAATACCATCTCTCAGTTAATTTCCAACACATTATTCCAAAACATATTTCACACTGTGAATGATGTAAGATCCACCACCCTGACCTTGTAGAAAGTACTTGTCCACATCATTACTTCAGTCAACTTTGATTATCAGCATGGTTATTGTGATTTGAAACCTCTGACTGACCAAGCAAAATATTCCAGATTCATGTTGGAGGCTCCCAATCCCCAGATACAAGTGTTCCAACTGATCTTGCATTAGAGGGGCAAGTCCAGGTGCCAGCTTACCACACAGTCCCGGCCTTGATTCCATTGGCGAAAGCCAAGGCCTTGTTGAGGTCATTGGTGAAAATGGCTGCTCCAAGACCATAGGCCGTGTCATTGGCACGCTCCAACACTTCTTCCAAGGTCTTGAATTTAATTATTTGCTGAACAGGTCCAAAGATCTGAATATCAGAAAACAATAAATCACTCAATTAAGCATAAATACAATTTGATTGTCTAAGTCAATGGTAATATCATGATCTAAAACAAATATGAAATTTTTAGAGTAAAATTAATGTTTTATACTTATCCTGACTCATGCTTATTGCTTGTCTTCTTCTTCTTGCGAACATAGTGGAACACGTGTATCTCACAATTGAAGTTCCCTTCAATTAAAAAATCACTAATTAGTACTCACCATGAGTTACCTCCCTTCCACAAGCGCGGGAACGAGGGCGCCACCTGAACCCATGTGCCTCACTCCCTCCTTTAGTTTCGAGCCCGACACTTTATTTTTCCGAAGAAATCCAAAGTGTTAAGTGGGGAGGACGGGAGGGCTTACCTAATGGGTCAGGATAAGTATAAAATATTAATTTTACTCTAAAAATTTCATATTTTTCCTTATCCTGACTCATGCTTATTGCTTGTAGAATCCGACGGAAAACGAGGTGGGAATATATATACTTTGGATTTGAATAATTAGTGATTTGAACTGTGATGATTGTAATAACCCTATGGGAACTTCATAAAGGCACTGAACTGATGAATTCCTGCTGTATAACTTATCAGCTGCCATATAAAGGTTATTACAATTTATAGAATATGATAAAAGTATATACAACATTAATGTAAGCTGAAGCTATTAATGTGATAATATAAACTTCTGTGAGTTTATAGTGGATACTTTTATAAATTAACCAAAGTATTAAGCTTAAGATATGCATATATTTAAGCTATAATAGTATAGTATTGTGCTTAAGATATAATTATAACTTAAGTTGTATAATAGTAACCAACTCCTTAGAGTTTGTTAACTAATACATTTATGCATATGACCATATGACTGAGCTTAAGGATTGATGAAACTTAAGCTGAACATATATATATATAGTAGCAAAACTCCTAGGAGTTGTAAGCTTATATATAGTATGATATAAAACCATAGTACTGAGCTTAAGATAATAAATTAAACTTAAGCAAAATATATAGATAGCATGTAGCTATTAGTACTGTTATCAGATAAGTATAAAATCTGTAAGATAGACTTATCTTCTCCGTGGAACTGTCAACTGTTGAGCGAGGACCATGGGACCCGAAATGGTGGATACCTGAGGCGTCCTCGGTGGTGATATCTCTCAGATAGTGGTTGGCAAACACCATATCGGATCTCCAGAAACATCCCTCCATTATGGTATTCAGCGAGCAATTCCCATGTAGAGCGAGAGTTGAGGCTAGCGCTCTAATTTAAGTGAGGATTAGAAGCTCTTGGAGGGTCGAGTCCTGCAGCCTTGTAGGCACGTAGTATGACAGTTCTGATCTAGATAGAGATCGTGAGTCAATGAGACTTCCGTCTGCATGTAGCTGTAGATATAGGGATAAATAATCTCTTGAATTTCCCTCTGCTCTGTTTGGATCGTTGGAGATATATTTTTAGTGCCCTCACTGGGCATAGTGATAGATCCATCGTATCATGCGGTCCAAGTATGGATGAGAGAGCTGGGACGTGAAATAATCTGTCTGGTTGACCTGGCAGTTGGTTTTTCGCTGTAAAATCCCAGCGAAGTCCCAGATGAGCGATGTTATGAATATCATCAAAGCGTATTCTCTCGTAATCCAAAGCGTGAATCTCTGACATCCTGGCGGCCGTAGCTAGCGCTAACAGGAATAAGGTTTTGTGGGTCAGTGATTCAAACGATGTAGATAGCAATGGTTCATAAGCCTCACTAGTGAGGTATTGGAGCACTATATTTAGATCCCAGGCTGGAGCGTGAAACTTCCGTTTTTGATCCTCCAATCGGAACGCTTGTAACAAAGCGAGTAACTCTGGTGTTTTTGTTAACTTGGCCGTTATGCATAGTTATGACAGAACTTATGGATGCAAGATAAGTGGACAAGGTTGAGCCTTTAGATTCTTAGTTTGCCGTAGATAACATAAAAATCTGCCACTTGAGGATGTGTAGCATATCTGGCTGTAAATCCTTTCTTAGCAGCGTAATTGACAAAACTGTGCCATTTGTCATCGTACAAGTTACGAGTTGAGTTACGTAGTGCAAGCGTGACCGCTTTAGCCGCTCTGGCAGAATAACCTCTCTTATTCAGACATGCCTTGATACAATCCATACGTGAAGTTGGAATGCTTCTGGTGTTTCGTGCACTTGTTTGGTGTGCGGATGTATCAATAGATTGGCGCGTTGTGGGAGCTGAAGAATTGGTTTTCCCATTACTTGAATGAGATCTGGAAACCAAGTTCTTGCTGGCCAGTAGGGCGCGACTAAAATCAGATGGAGGCTCTGCGTTTGACTGATTTTCTGTATGACTTGTGGGATCAACGCTGGAGGCGGGAAAGCGCGCTGTTGAGTCTCTCCCATGATATGCTTAGAGCGTCCGTTGCCCATGCTAGTGGGTCTGGCACTGGCGACACGAATGTTGTCAGTTGCTTGTTGAATCGAGTGGCGAATAGGTCTATCAGTGGAGATCCTATTTCCATGATTATTTGATTGAATATCTCTGTGTGGAGCATCCACTCTGTCGGCGACGGTTGGTGTGGCCGAGAGAGAGCGTCTGCTAATACATTCTTTGCTCCTGGAATGTGGCAAGCTCTGATGTGTATGTTTAGATTGTCGATTAAATCGAACAGTCTGAAACATCGAGTCAGTAGGTTCTGCGACCTTGTTGAACCTTGCTTGTTCACATAAAACGCCACTGTTGAATTGTCTGTGTGAACCATTATCTGAGCGTTCTGTAGTAGGTTGCTCCAGTGACTTATGGCGTTTATGACTGCTTGCATCTCTAGCAGATTTATGTGACATTTGCTCTCTTGATTGCTCCATAGGCCTGACGCTGTCCTGCCAGCAAGGTGGGCTCCCCAACCTTGTAGTGACGTGGCCTACGTGAGAGATGTGAGTTCGATTCGGCTCTACTAAGGAGACGCCTCGCGCAAACATTCAATCTCTTGGTCCACCAGAGTAGATGTGGTTTGACATAATCTGGTAGACTGAAAGGTAGAGGGTCCTCGAGATGAGCATTGATGAGGACTTGTAACGGACGTAATTGAAGCCTGCCTCTGACTGTCAAGTCTTGAGCTGATGTGAGTAGTCCCAATAGGCTCTGCCACTGTCGTAGTGGTAACGGAGAGAGTAGGGCTTTAGGAATAAGTTGTTGGATCTTGATCCATCTGTCCTCCGGGACTACAATACGATTCTGAGCTGTTAGAAATCGTGTACCTAGAAATTGCAGATCTTGCGTTGGTTCTAGGTCCGACTTGAGTAGATTTACTAACCATCCTAATTGTGTTAGTAGCTTGATTATAAAATTCAGCTGTAGTCTGAGACGCTGTGGATCTGGATCCACTTGTATACCGTCGCCTAGGTAAAAAGCTACTACAAGACCTTGACGATGTAGGTATGAGACAATAGGCTTGGTCACTCTTGTGAATACCCAATGGGGCTGCGATGTGATTCGAAGGGAAGAACCTTCCATTGGTAATGTTTCCCGTCTAGGATAAATCTTAGATATTTCCTTGAGTTGGGATGAATCGAATGTGTAGATATCGCCTTGCAAATCTATGCTGGCCATGTAATTAAATGCCGGTTTGCGCGTAAGTGTATCATGCTAAACGTTGGAGGTTTGCATAGATATTCTCTGTTGAAGATGCTCATGTTGTATATGAGACGAAACTTCTCCTTGGAATTTTTCTTCGGCACTAGGAAAACTGGGGAGTAGAAACCTGGTACGATGTTTCGTTGATCCAGAACTTCTAAGGCCTGTTTGTTTAGTAGAGTAAGTACTGTTTCTCTTAACATAGGTAGTTGTGCCGGATGAACTTTGAACCCTGGGGGGGTTGACTGTTAACGGAGGCTTGGCCTTGAGTTGTATTAGATATCCGTGCTGTAGGATGTTGGATACATATGGATCTTGTAGTATTCCCCAGTTTTCCCAGTGTAGCTGAAGGCGTCCACCCACTTGAGACGGTTGTACTGGAACGGCTGGGGGTGGAAGACTCCAGTCGTTCCGAACCTGAATTTCATCGTCTAAATCCACGGGCACCTCTGGATGATCTGCCTCTAGCTGATCCTCCCCTAAATTTGTTGTATGGGCGACGAAAAGAATCCTTGGGCTCTTTAGCTGCAGCTAATTTCTTGTCCCGTGCTTTCTGTAGCTCCGAAAACTTTGACTTGCCTGAGTATCTCTGTGTTGACTGTTTAATGATGTTCGCTAAGGTATCCATGGATCTGATCATAAGAACCTCTCTTGAGTCTTTAGATACTTCTTTGGATACCTTGTCTATGTTGCCACCAAACAGTAAGGGCGATGACCATGGAGCTGTGTATAGAGATTCTGTAAATTGCTTATCCCAAGAGCAGGAGGCTAGTAAGCCTTGCCGACGAGCCATGGTAGTAGTTTCAGTAAGCTGATAGGTGCTCTGTAAGAAATTGGTGGTCTCTTTTCTGCATGAGTAGAGCTGAGTAGATCATTCTATCTTCCTCCTCTGTAGAATTCTTGAACTTGGTGATGAGAGTTTCATTAATCGTTCTAGATCTATTCAATCCAAAGAACATCCTCCTGGCGATGGTATCTAGTTGAGCGAATTTGCGATCGTCTACTTTGTAACTTCTGGACTTGGCATCGCTAATTAATTTAAAGTAGTCATCAATATCCTGGGCCTTGAAAAAGGGGTCCATATTGTGTCCTGCAAATTTCTTGGCATTGAAGACCGGGAAATGTGTAGATTGGACTTTTAAAGATTTGGAACAGGCTGTATCCAAATTAGCTGGTACCGCTGCAATCGGATCAATAGGAGGTAAGGTGATATTGTCTACATCATCATCCTTCATCAGGTAAGTCTGAGTTGAATTCTCATTCTTCGATGGGGAAGCAAGTTGTAACTCATTCACCATCCAGTATCTGATCTCAGCATCTGAGAAAATGATACCTTCTTCCTCTGATGTAGGGTCACATGTCGGAGTCCTAGATCTGTAGGAAGATCTATGAGAGGACTGTGGTGAACGGACTGACGAGTGGCTAGTGTAAGGAGACCTTGGAGGAGACATCCTCGGCGAACGCTGGGGACTTCGCGAAGCTCTTCTAAATCTTCTGGGCGAGGTAGATATGGAGCCACTTAGCCTTCGCGACCTTCGCGAATGTATCGAGTCAGTGTCCGAATCGACATATGAGCTTGCCTTCCGCAATCCGACCTCTGTGTTCTACAGGTTGTGGGCTCGGGCGGCGCTCCTTCTCCGCGATGTCCCTCGCAACTGGATAGGCTCTCGCTCCTTGTGGCGAGGCCCTGGGACTTCCTTAGCGAAGTGATCGCTACGGGCTGGGTTGCCGGCGCCGGCTTTGTGGACTCTGGGGCCCTACGCCGGCCAAGGCGGCTCTGGGGCTCTGTATGACTTATTAAGTGTTGGGCTCTGGGGCCCGTGGCTCTGGGGCCTCTGTAAACCGTAACGGTCCTCCATCAGTCTCATGATTTGGTTAACCAGGTCGTCTGGGACAGTCTGCGCTGGCGTTGAGGGTGGCCTCTCTGTGAAAGTGACGGGACCCTCAATCGTAAACTCAGGCGTCAGCGTAGGCATCTCTGGTTGCGTGTTTATCTGCGCTGTTGTGACGGTAGCAGATACTGGACGTTTCTTATGACGTACATCTGGAATGATAATCGGAATGTCATCATCATATAAACATAATTCTGAGACAGGTAGAATATCGGAGGCAAAATTATTTGTAGTTTTCGTAGATTTCCCTTTTGACGAAGCTGTGGACCTGGGGGTTCGAAGCGTACGTTGAGATGATGTGGACGCTTTCCTAGTCTTAGACTGAGAAGACGGAATGTCTTGAGATGCAGGTCGCTTCTTGGACATAGCGGACTGCGTCCCACGCTTATCCCCCGAGGGAAACTCCGGCATGCCACCAGCCGGTGGCGGGTCGTCAGTCAACAGTTGACAGGGTATAATAGCTTCCGATCTATTAGCCATGACTGAAGATTGTTTGCGAGATTTATCTGCCTTCCGTCTCAAAACGGAACATAAATATTTATCAAAGGCAGCAATTGGTAAATTAATACATAATTTACAACGAAACAATAGAACATGGAGTAATGCAACTAGGGCATTTTAAATGTGGATCGGTAGCAGAATAACGTGAGTTTACAACCTGTGCAGATTCTCATGAACGTAAACTGCTGAACAAACACGGCTAACCTTGAATAAAACAGCAGAAACACGACTAATTATCAATGCAAGTTGAATAAGGATACTAGTTACACCTCTATAACTGAATATAAGGGAACTAAACTAAATATAAATAAAGGATATAGTGTGTTGGGAGACACAGGCGCTCTCACGTCCAGCTCACTGGGCGAAGAAGGAGAGAGTAAGGCACATGGGTTCAGGTGGCGCCCTCGTTCCCGCGCTTGTGGAAGGGAGGTAACTCGTGGTGAGTACTAATTAGTGATTTTTTAATTGAAGGGAACTTCAATTGGGAGATACACGTGTTCCACTATGTTCGCAAAAGAAGAAGAAGACAAGCAATAAGCATGAGTCAGGATAAGGAAAAATATGTAAATGCAAAAAAATTGAAGGTGATGGTCTTGGTGTCATTGATGATGGTGAAAGAATTGTGTTGTCATGGAGATGAGTTGTAGGCTGATTACATGCAAGTAAGATAAGTTGACGTCTGTTTGTTTATCTCTATCAACTGTGTACAAGTTAGGTACACAATTTCCCTTGTGGGACAAAGGGAATGAATGAATTTGTGTATTTTCAAATTCTATCTTATTTAATTTAAAAAGTCATTAACATATTCAGTAAGTTCATGGAAGCTCCTTATCCAGATGTTTTGCCATTACTGACACCCTTCTTTCTCCCTCTGCATAGCCACACACACAAAAGCAGTTTTCTGACTGACCTCCTCCCTGGCTATCCTCATGTTGTCTTTGACGTTGGAGAAGACAGTGGGCTCGATGAAGTAGCCCTTGTCTCCATGCCTGGCCCCTCCAATCTCACACGTGGCTCCCTCATCCTTCCCACTCTGGATCAGCTCCAGGATCCTGGTCAGCTGCTCATTGTCAATCTGAATCAATCAAGATTGGCCATCAACATCATCGTCAAGCATCACCTGCAACTTCACTCCAAACACATGGCTTGAAGAATGGACATGAAACTCAATATCTATTACAATATTTTCCCTCATTCATGAGTCATTAGAGGTTTTGAATGGGCCGACATCGAGTCGAGGATGATCACAGACTGTCCTTGTTTTATCACACCATGTACAATGCAAATTAGTCCTACCTGAGGGCCATTCTTTGTCTTGGGGTCAAAGGGATCACCAACACTTCGTTGTTTTGCTGCCTCCACACTGCGTTTCACAAATTCATCATAGATTTCCTCCTGCACAAACGTCCTTGACCCCGCAATGCAGCACTGCCCCATGTTGGTCATCACGGCCTCGTGCGCCCAGGCAGTCGCTATGTCCACTGTAAGGACATGTCGTCAGTCACAGTGAGTGAGTGAGTTGAGTTTCAACAATATTCCAGCAATATCACGGCAGGGGACACCGGAAATGGGCTTCACACATTGTACCCATGTGAGGAATCCAACCCGGGTCCTCAGCTTGATGAGCGAATGCTTTAACCACTAGGCTACCCCGGCTAAATCAAGAGATACCATTAGCAAGGGAGGGCAGAAAGTCAGAGAGTTTATTCACTTAATAAAGGAGTGAGTGAGCGAGCGAGTGAGGGAGTTTTCGCCATATTGTGGTGTGGGAAATCAAACTCGGGTCTCCAGCATGACAAACAAAACCCTTGATGGCCAAGTTATTTCACACACCAAGTTTTTCCGAGTATTAATGTTTAATGATGTAGTAAGTAGCATCCTGTTCATAAGTGTTGATCAGGTTCATGGAGCAAAAGGAGAGTGTGTACATTCAAATTTACAGAGTTATGTCCCTTAACACTATGGCTACCAGAACTGCAACCACGAAACATTTTCAGTCCTCCACTTTCACTCATTCACTCATAGCGTTGCTGTTATTGAGGATAATCCTATTATTCATGACTCACCAAACTCGCTATATATGATTCAGATGGTTTAACTCAAGGCTTCCGTATCTGGGTTAACAGCTGTACTCACAGTTTGAGTCGGCAAAGATGACATTGGGACTCTTTCCTCCCAGCTCCAATGTCGTCCTCTTGAGGTTCGTGCCGGCTGCTGCTGCCATGATTATCTTGCCGATCTGAACAGCAGACAGGTAGGAGAAAGTTTACGAATTTGCTCAATACAGTCCATGTTGGATTTTCATCATATACTTCCATCATGATGGGAGGCCCATTAAAATATTTCAAACACAAATAAAGACAATTCATGCAGTTGGGGGGTGACATTCGCATACAATAACTGACTGATTTGTAGTGAGGGTGCTGAAAATTTGACATACATGTCAATGAACAGGTCATTTTACGACAAAAGAACAAAATCTCTCCAAACATATAACAGGTATGAAAGTATTATTCACATTGCAAATTCTCAGAGCCTGTTACTACTTGCATGAACCAACAGTGACTCACATGACAGTACCCTGACCCGTACACTCACCTCTGTTGAGCCAGTGAAGGCCACCTTGTTGATGTCGGGGATGCTCCGAGATGGCAGCCCCAGCTGTAGGACCATACCCAGGGACAATACTCACAACACCCGTTGGGAACCCGGCCTGGAACATAAATCATATCATTCATATTCTCAGTCACTAGATTTATCCCACAGCTGACTGACTTATGGTAAAACACATCCTATGTTCATCTACAGTCAAAACTTAAACCATCCTTACAGTGTAATCCATGATCACCTGAAGCAAAACGTTTGGTGTTTTACACCTAATATTTAACATATGTAATGGTTGACCTGTAAATACTCCAATCTGGACTTGATAATCCAGTGATTGATGTCATGAGCAACTATCCACACCACCTGTCCATGTCACCTCACTTTGGCCTCAATTAACCAATTGAGAAAAGGTGGCAACTTCAGCATCCCTCCCAGCAGCAGGACGTGTGTGGATGGAGCCTGCTTTCAATTAGGAAATTAAGATAATTTGCAAAGAAATATACCGGTAGATCGAAGGGAAATGTGTGCTCTGTGTACGAGCAAATATGCACATTAATCTTAATACCTGTACAATGCCTAGCACAAACAAATTAGAACTATAAAGGTAAATAATCTTAGTGATGTTCAATTGCAAATTTGATGTCTCCTAACTGACAATGTCGTTTTCTCAAGTTTATAGGCATCGCAGTCACGTAACAAACACTGCCTAGGAGTATGTGAACCTCAGTCACTGAACAAAGGGAGGTAACAACATTTGCCCAGCTAGTAAACCCATGCAAGGATAGTCAATATCGGTTTTCAGATTTTAATTACAGGAACCAATTCAGCGGTACGCAAGCTAACATTTGACATTTTTGTGTGTACACATGTAAGATCAATTTTTGAGTATTTACAAAAATTCAACCGTACTTGTACACAATAAACTTAAAAGGAATTGAGTTTCCACATAAATATTTGCTAAATTTACGTAGATACACAGCTTTTCTGTATCTCTGCCTTCTGCAGACTGTTTTTTGGGGGGGTCTTCAAACTTCGGCTTATCTACGGTCATATACGGTAATTAATACAAACAATCTGGATGCTTACAGTGTTAAACTATGGGTTCTTTACATTTTTATGGGTAATGACAATTTTACTTTCCTATTGATAGGTGTGTAACTAGTATGGTTTTATGTCTTACTAGTCAGCAACCGTCCTGCATTTCCTGACAGGGATGCCTAGAGAGGCCATGACACACTTCGTGAAGGACCCAACGCAAGCAAGTCATAAATTAAAACAAGTTTCTTACTTCTCTGAAGAGAGATCCCAGGTAGATTGCTGTGAGGGGAGTCTGTTCTGCGGGCTTCACGACAATGACGTTCCCAGCGCAGAGGGCAGGGGCAATCTTCCAGCAGAACATGGTGATGGGGTAGTTCCACTGGTGTCCGCATGGAGAGAAGAAAGCACACACAGATGAACCATCAGGCTGTATGGGGTCACAGTTCAGCGTGTTATCACGAACCAGTCAGCAGTGAAGCTACACAACTCTCTGTCATACCACTGTTCTGAGACTCATGTATAGCAGGTTAACCTTTCTGCTGATCCTGACTATAGCTGTTCTAAGCTGCTCAGGTGTGTTCTTATCACTAGTGTTGGGAATCGGAAACCAAATCCACTATCGACTATCGGAGGACTTGTGGTGAATGATTATCAATTATAATCGAAATATATACATTTTTAAGGTAATCACAAATTTTTAGGAGTTTTCCCCAGATTTTTTCAAATTAATGTTTTTTTTATAACTAATACTGTCATGCTATGAAATGCATGCATGCAAGAACAAATATTTACCAGTATTATCTCATTACGTTCACGATAGATGTAAAATTTATTCATAGACAGGTTACAGTAATATTTACCATAGTGATGAATACGAAACTATGAATACATTACGCATAGCTTTAGACTGTTGACATATGCATATTCATGAATTTTTGTCAAATTTAATGGTTAGTTTACTTCAATCAAGTGTGTTATACTAAAACAATAAAATTCCGAATAATATTGTTCTAATTGAAAATATGTTTTTACAATCGCTAATTATTTTTAATCCTTCTTTTCGATCAATTTTCGATCATCATAACACCACTACTTATCGCTGGCACTACATCACTAAATAAGACTAAATGTGAACAGATTATTTCCTGGACTCTCTTTCTAAAGATTCATTTCTGACAATATAAAGTAAAATATAACAAAATTCAAATTGTGCTCCAAAACAAAATACTTACAGGAATAATCTGCCCACAAATCCCAACTGGCTCGTGGCGAGTGTAGCAAAAGAAGTCTCCATCTGGAACAGACAGGGATTTGTGAAGACTTCAGTAATCATGTCGCTCTTGACAAGTGATGAAGAGTCCTCGAGCACAGCAAAATATGACAGCTCCATTATCATATGAAGCCATGATTGCAACTGGCCACACAGATGTAAAAACAAGCATTCCCTTTATATGATGGCAGTCCATCAATAATTGAGTCTAGAAAAGACACTCCAGTGATTCACATCATAAGCATCTGTATACATGATTTGGATATTGTGACACGCATCAACCAGGTCAGTGTGTCTGACCACCCAATAAGTAAGCCGCCATTTACAAGAAAGATTTGTTGCTGAAGACTAATTCTAAGCTACATTGTCATATCAGGGTATGAATATGTTACTGAGCTCGGCTCACGGACAGCAATATTCCAGTGATATATCCAGAAATGACAGCTTTATGGAAGATAAAAGCCTCCATCACATACACCTAAAACAGGATAGTGCTGACCAGCCAAGGAACCGAAATAAGTCCATCCAGCAAAGGGATGCAACTCTTTCAAAAGAACAGTGAGTGAGTGAGTTTAGTTTTACGCCGCTCTCAGCAATATTCCAGCTATATGGCGGAGATCTGTAAATAATCGAGTCTGGACCAGACAATCCAGTGATCAACAGCATGAGCATCGATCTGCGCAATTGGGAACCAATGACATGTGTCAACCATGTCAGTGAGCCTGACCACCTGAACCCGTTAGTCGCCTCATCATTGTATTTCACCTCACTTGCTGTTATTGTTTTTCAAATGGAATCTCCTGTACACTCACCAACTGGAATGGTCTTGCCCTGAATCTTGTCCGCCCAGCCAGCATAGTACCGGATCACATTTATGCCAAATATTATGTCCCCTACCGAGCCTTGGAAGGGCTTCCCATTGTCCAGTGTCTCCAAGCTCTGTATTGGAGATTATATTAGTCATACACAGGGACAAGGGATCATGGACCAGTAATAGCATACTTCAGAACAAGGGAATATGTGGCACTTACACCCAGGTATGAGGAATAAAATGATTGCTACACCCAATCTGTGGTTAACACAGTGAGGAAGGTAGGTGTGTAAGCTCTATAATAACCAACATATACCCTACTCCAGCATGTAATGTTGTGTTTTCCATGGCATGTGAAGAGGCAGAGGCATATGAAACACACATAAAATATCCCCCCAAATACAAAACTACAATTTCTCCACCAATGGGACACAATGTGTCTGGACAAACAGCAGGACATGACAGTATATCGGGCACACATGATTCTACAAATGGTCTCACATTTGTTTTTAATTCAGACCTTTTACATGGTTTAATCTAATCATTCTCAGGGGCTGATATTTGGCCTGCAGTGTGTTGGTTACATCTCCCAAGCCATCCCAGTGGAGATTGTATTAGACTTGATGTGTTACAGGTCTGTGTCAAGGGTTGACGTTACTGACGACTGTACTCCATCCAGATTAGCTCCTGGAATATCTTACAAGAAAAGCAGACCAAACAGATTCTTTTGCAATTTGCTCACCAGGGTAATTCAGTCTAAAATCCCCAACAAATCTCTACAGGAAGGAAACTATTAAGGACATATAACATAGCCAAACTTATAAAAGTGTGGAAGACATGTAATCATCGTTGCAGGTAAAAGGGACAAGAGTATTGATCAATACACCAACAGTTATGGCTATTGGTCAAGAAGTGCAGTGCTGGTCAGTAGAAGTGGGCATTAACGTTACAGCCAGGTATGAAATGTCCCTCTCGATAAGGTCAGCCAGTTTCCACAGCAGCCTGCCACGACGACTTGCATCCATGCGACGCCATACAGACCCCGATTTGAAGGCTGTTTTAGCTGATTCTACAGCAATGTCCACATCAGCCTGTAGAGACAAGAAAACTGCTATAACGTGGCAGCTATAGTATCGCTGTTGTAACATGGCAACTTTAGTATTGCTGTTGAAAAATGACAAATTTAGTATTGCTGTTGCAACATGACATCTGTAATGTTGCTGTTGTAACATGACATCTGTAGGATTGATGCTGTAACATGACAACTGTAATGTTGCTGTTGTAACATGACATCTGTAATGTTGCTGTTGTAACATGACATCTGTAATGTTGCTGTTGTAACATGACATCTGTAGGATTGATGCTGTAACATGACATCTGTAATGTTGCTGCTGTAACATGACATCTGTAATGTTGCTGTTGTAACATGACATCTGTAGGATTGATGCTGTAACATGACATCTATAATGTTGCTGCTGTAACATGACATCTGTAGGATTGCTGCTGTAACATGACATCTGTAGGATTGCTGCTGTAACATGACATCTGTAGGATTGCTGCTGTAACATGACAACTGGAATGTTGCTGTTGTAACATGACATCTGTAATGTTGCTGCTGTAACATGACATCTGTAATGTTGCTGCTGTAACATGACATCTGTAATGTTGCTGCTGTAACATGACATCTGTAATGTTGCTGTTGTAACATGACATCTGTAGGATTGATGCTGTAACATGACATCTGTAATGTTGCTGCTGTAACATGACATCTGTAGGATTGCTGCTGTAACATGACATCTGTAATGTTGCTGTTGTAACATGACATCTGTAATGTTGCTGTTGTAACATGACATCTGGAATGTTGCTGTTGTAGTATGACAACTAATGTTGCTGATGGAACATGACAACTGTAATGTTGCCGCTGTAACATGACGTGCTGTGCTGTTTTACAACTGTAATGTTTAACATGACAGCTACCGAGTGTTGCCATAAGCTGCTCTGGCACTGGAGCATGGCTGATGTTAAAAGCTGACAGATCTTTTTCATTTGCAAAATAAGTAGTTCCATGAATGCTCCATCACAGAATTACATGTGTATAGTGTATCACAAACCTTGTCCCCTTCTTGGACATCAGTAATCTTCTCTCCTGTAGTGGGGTTGAAGGTGGGAAATGTTTTTCCACTTGCTGAGTTCACATAGTCATTGTTGATGAATATCTGGAAAATATTAAATTGCATGGACTCAGTAAAGAAACCTGAGGGTGGATGTTGTTTAATATCACAGTGACCAATGTTCTAGTAGTGTCCCGCCAGCCTGTAAATACTGAAATATGGAGAAGGTAATCATTCTAGCAAAGGCACATATCCCAGAGGTACAGATAAGCTGCGTATCTGCGTAAATTATACAAATATGTGTAAACTCAATTCTTATTGAGTCTATTGCTACAGGTACCCTTGAAGTTTTGTAAATACTCAATAAATTTGATCTTACATGCGTACACACACAATAATGTCAAATCATAGCTTGCGTACCGGTGGATAGATAAAATAACTGAGGTATATTGAGAGGTTCTATTTCAACATGTGAACTTGGCAACTTGCAGTCTTTCTTATCGTTACCCATATTACAGATCAAATATAAATAGCAAACACGTAAACCAACATTGAACCGTTATTATATTTTTACAATTAATGGAAAATGGCAAAATACCCAATTGAGTTTGAGTGAGGTGGGTACAATTTATTTGGTAACTCAAAAGAAATTAGGATACCCAATTGAGATGAACACAAGCGAATACATAACTCAATGACCCCAAAAGTTATCTGTAGCTCTGTATCCTCCGCATAATTACAAATGATTGAAAACAAAAACTAAAATCTAATGATTTGAGCATAATCTGATGTCAAAAAGCAGGGTATTTTGTGTCTTTGGATTTGAAGAGATATAGTATCAGAGCTCCAGATAAGATTTGGCTCATGTGGGTACTGTACCCACTGTATCTGTTGGGAGTGGGTATTATGAATGTTGAGTCGGTATTTCATTTTCCGTTACCCACTGCTTTCAAATATGTGCGTATTTCAGTCATTTTACTCACCTAAGTATTACTCCATTGAGTAAGTTTACTAAGCAGGTATGTTCTGCCTTATGTCATACCTAATCAAAACCAACTTAAATATAATGTTCTTAATTACACGCCCGTCTGCGTACAACTCGAAAGCGCACAGCCATCTTCGCCAACGTGGTCCCAGACTTGAAGTCTCACTACAGTCGAAACTGTGAAGGTGTCCAATGTCACCAAATTTAACCGTCGTCATGATAGCTAGAACCACAACTATCCTCGTTGCCATTCATGTGGTGTTGCCACTTAGTGCGCTCCCATTTAAGTCCGTTATGTTCAACACAAAACAACAACACGTGTTCGCAGCTCCCGCACTTTACTTGTCTGCCCATTCATGCTGCTCATGCGCAGATACATTTCCGTTCTCTTTAATAGACGGAGAATATAACGTAAACCGGACCATACCGGACAATAAGCACAAACACTACAGAAATGATTTCATAAAAAATCACTCATTTGAGTTGTACTGACAGTACAACACTTGTCCTATACTAACAGTACAACTTGATAGCAATCGATGTCTTTTTCATTACGCAAGCGATTTTTATAAATATATTCCGTACACATTTGTTTTAAACTTTTTGCTTATCTAACATTTTAAATGCGTAATTAGTACGCAACAATTAATTTTCAATGCATAATTGAAAATTTTCCATGCGTATTTTACCCGGATACCCAGCTTATCTGGGCCTCTGTAGTATGATCAGAAAGTTTTGAGAATTTTAGGAATATGTTTAATTGGATTTCTAGTATAAACAACCTTGACCAGCTATCAAGAGCTTGGTTTCATTCAAGAGAGACAACTCCGTTAATCCTTTTTTCATTTGTTTGTGAAGAGTTACCCCCCTTTGTTTACTTGCTAGCAGACGACATTTTCAGTGATCCTCAGTATGGATGATTTAGAGAAGAGGAAGTTGATTTTAGAGTATTATAACAAGGACATCAGATCAGCTAAAGTGATTTCAAGTTGAACAGGCATCCCTTTGTCCACTGGTTATCGTGTTTTGAAAAAAAATTGCAAATAGATATGGCATTGAGCACCAGGTAGGCCCAGAAAATTGACTGTCGGTGACAGTAGGCGGCTTGGTATTCTTGTTTCTAAAAACAAACGAGGGAGTGTAAAAAACTTAAGGCTGGATATGATTGATAGAGGAACTGTGGCTGTCTGTAAGGAGACAATTAGAACTGAGCTGCATGCAATGCGTTGGCAGAAAAGTCGAGGAATTCTATCACCGATCATGAAACATGAACAAAAGGAGCGAAGGTAGAACTGGTGCTTACAGCATTGACATTTTAACTGGGACAATGTGATTTTCTCAGATGAAAGTTCTGTGTGGCTGTTTCCTAATACACTGAAATTCTGGACCAAACAAACTGAAAAACCTTTGTATCAGTGCCCAAAGTACAGTCCGAAATTTATCGTGTGGGGTGGCATATCTGTGTTAGGGGCAACGCCCCTCTGTGTATTTGAAGGGAATATGAACAGTGAGCGGTACACAGATATTCTCGAGGGACATTTACTTCCATCTGCTCACCTGGTTTTGGACCTAAAATATGACATTATTAGATTGGCCAAGCTATAGCCCTGACCTAAATCCAATAGAAAATGTTTGGGGACTTATGAAGGAAAGTGTCAATGAGAAAAATCTGACAAATATTGCTGAAATTCGGGAGGAGGTGGTCCGATATTGGGACAGCATGGACCACGACTTTCTAACTTCTTTGATCAGTAGTATGCCCCGCCGCATTGAAGCCTGCATTGCTGCCCATGGTGACTTGACAAAATACTAACTGTTCACCTGTCTTTGAATCTGGAGTTATGTTCTGCTAATATTCACATTTAATAAGTGAGTAATGAATGAAAAAAAAATATATAAAATTACAATCTTAAATTCTCAATAATTTCTGGTTGTACTGTATCAGGTGTCACTGTGTTTATGTATTTAACTAATTACACAGATAAACAGTTAAACTCCAATAACATTGTTAAAGTGTTTATTGTTTGTCAATATCTGCTATCACTATCAGCTCAATGAAGCTGATGACACCTTTGATGTGGGTTTGGTGGTGGAATTGGTTGCAGTACACATTGATCAGGTCCTTTTTGGAACATTTACATTAGTGAGGAAGTGATATTGTTGAGTCTGGCCTCAGTGTTTTGTGTGTATTGGGTGATCAGAGTTCCAGTCTCTAATTAGATGTGCCTTATGTGTGGAAGTCTCCAGTTCCAGCACTGACAGACCAGCATTTGTCGGCCACATCCCAGAACAAGGTTAGTCCAAACCTATTTTGGAAAAGTAGTCTTTCAAAACAGTAACCTAAAGCTAAATGTTGTACAGCTTAATATTTTAATGTCTTACAAATTCATGAAACAGTTGAACACCATATCCACATCAGCCTAGAGACAAGAAACTGCTATAACAGTTGTCATTTATAGTATAAAGTTCATCGTAAATGCATTTATCTGCAGCTTGTGAAGGTGAGTGAGTGAGTTTAGTTTTATGCCACACTCAGCAATATTTCAGCTATATGGCAGCGGTCTGTAAATAATCGAGTCTGGACCAGACAATACAGTGATCCACAACATGAGCATCGATCTACGCAATTGGGATATGATGACATGTGTAAACCAAGTCAGCGAGTCTGACCAACCGATCCCGTTAGTCGCCTCTTATGACAAGCATGGGTTACTGAAGATCAATTCTAACCCGGACCTTCACGGTTCAGCTTGTGAAAGTACAGGTGCTAATGGGTCTGTCTCTTGTTATGTATCTTCTTTCCATAAACGGGTTCAGATTCTATCACAATTTTGTTACTTTTGGCATTTTCCCTACTTCAGCCAATATGTATAAATGTTATAATCGACTTGTAATGTGTGTTTGTGTAATGTAATTCTGAGTTAAAAGTGTTTTAATCAATCCAGCATACGAAATGTACACTTATCTGAGATATATATGTGTGATAAAGTGTAACTATTTGTATCACATAGTTCACAGAACCTAACATCTTACAATGAATTGTAGTTGTGTGTGGTGTTTTGAGAGATGGTCACAGTTATATGGAGAAACAGCTCAAAATTCAGTAAATATGCCTTTGAGAGAATTTAAGAGAAAGGCATGCATTTCACAGTATTACAAAATAACTTATAAATAAAATGACCTTAAAGCCATTCAAAGTTAAGCTAGAATTGTCACAGATTTGTAACTGGCCACTAACCGCTAATAGTGGATGCCTGTGACAAAGCGCCCAATGTTATCTGAGGGTTATCCATGAATCTCAGACCACCAAATGTCAGCTGCAGGAAGTGGGACGCACACATACAATTAACCTGGGTACAGAGCGCTAAATATGTTTCCAAGTTGCAAATACATTTTGGTACCGTTAGTTACTTATGGTATTTGCTCTATGACTGCTTACAAGAATCTAGAAACTAGTCATTCGACGTAATTCAAGTGACATGATATGTATCTCGGTTCTTCAGTTCCAACCTTGCATTTCTTACACCTCAACCGCGCCTGTACAAACAGACGTGGAAACCACAGTCTGTTTGCTTGTGGCAGCTTTTAGTCCTGTTGAATATCAAGATGGACTTCATGTTTATGACATGCTGCCGTTTAGAAGCCGTGCCTAGCTCGCCTGATCCCGTTACAACCGGCAGCCGATAACAACATGGGGTAGATCTATCTTGTTGCCGTTGCAATTTGTCATGTCGATAGTTTGCCTTGTTCTGCATTAAATGGACACGTCATGTCAGGAGAAATAGCTGTCTTGCTAAAATACACGTTAGTATTACCTGTGTGAATTTTACTTCGGGATTGATGATCGCTTCTGGTTGAATCTCTGCCATTGCTTTCTTCTTCAGCCTCCAACGTCACCGCCTTCTTTGTGGACTATGGCATACAGCTATCATGTGACAGACCACATGGTCAGCGCAAAAGTGTTACAAGGCCGGCTGGGAAAAGCCAAGTCATGCATCCGGATTGGTCTGCCGAAATGCCAAACGGCGATGGCGACCTTCATAAACATCAAATGCCCTGAGTCACGAATATTGAATAAGTATTGCTTTACGCCGTGTCAGCGCTAAAATACAACTATTTTTGTTACAAACAATTAAAAAATGCCTTCAAAAGCAATGTCTTAATGACAAGCTGTATACAATGAAATTTTTTCAAAGGCATTTAGAAGTTAGTGTATAGTAACACAAGACAGATCTTATGGATAACAACTTCGTGATTTGTTTTTATTTTTCACAACGTTTCTAAGCTGTATACAACACTAATATATTAAATACATGTAGATTTCTATGTGTCATATCAGTTTCGTTAAAAATGAATCAAATAATTATCTGTGGATGCTGTTTTGTGTTGTTTTTTCAGTCTTTCGGTGCCAAGTTGGATCTCTCAGTTTTAAATCGATGGGCTTTGTACTTTGAGTAAATCGGACATTCTATAACTTCTTGTGAATGGGGTGTGTTAGCGGACAGGACCCCAGTCTGTTATTTATTATTATTTAGAATTTATCATTTAAACTAGCAATGTTTACCTTAGAGACTTGTGCTAAGTCTAGGTGTGTGCGTGTAGGACAGACACTGAAGTAATGTATGGCATGACTTATTTTGAGTGATATGCAAGTCCATAGGCCCCCACTGCGGGTCAGAATATCGATTAACTTAGCCCCGGTTTACTGTCCAGACCCCTTCTATGTAATATCAACATTATATGGGGGTGGGGGGTAGGGTTTAGTAAACCGTGGCTAAGTTAATCGATTTTCTGACCGCACAATTGTCGCATTATAGGAAAATAAGTCCTTGGTAAAGAAGTACCGGTATAAAAGTAGCGGTAAGTCTTGGTAAAAAATGTCCTTTTTGTAGTAAAAAATATCTTTAGTTATTTATTTGACAGACATCAAAAATTAAAAAAAAACACACACGAAGAAACCACCTATAATGACATAATGTCAGATTAAATGTTAAAATTGATGATCTTTTAAACGACATCTAAAAAAATTACATTTCTTGTTAGAAAAAGAAAAGGGGACTTTTTTCCAGAGGACCTTTTTACCTAGGCAAGTTTAGGACTTTTGTACCGAACACCGATTGCCGCAGGAGACATCCAATAGACTGGATATATTATAGTCCGACACCGCGGATTGTTGTGTCCCATCTGTGTAGGTCGATGATCATGGTGTCCATCACTGTGGCCGGCACGGGTGCTTATAATGTCCTGGCGCTTTTACGGCGATTGTGTGTGTTTCTTTGGGTTTGTGTGTGTGACGCTTAATACCAACGATTTCAACTTTTACATGTTTAAAATGTATTAGGATGCATGCGTTATTTTCATGTCATATAAGGAGCGTATACCAAATCCTTGAAGAATCACCAGTTGGCGTGTATCTCTTTCGTGTGGTGAGGAGGAGCTAGCTCACGTTTATTTTTTTCAGGGTGGATTTTTTACAATAAAGCCTAGTATCTTCTCATGGTCTGCCACTCAGTTCTGCCATTATTGGATCAAATATGGCTGTGTCGATTAAAAATTATATTGATGTATTAAAAGCGAATCTGTGAAATCTCACCCAAGTGTCTTCTGATATCAAATATATCGAGTGTTGATATATTTAATATCAGAAGACACGAGAGTGAGATTTTATTTATCATCCAAAATCATTCTTCATCAGTTATCAGTAAAAGAATGAACACAAAACTGCCATTAGTCTTCTTGAGCCTAATGAGGTCATAGCATTGTGACGTCATCAGTTTTTATGACATCATAGCATTTTTTGTGTCATAATAATAAATTATAATAGTGAGTATTTATAGTGCGCACAAATCCACGCTCGTAAGCATGCTCGTGGCGCTTCAGTTAAAACAATATGTACAGTAAGAGTGAGCTGTTTATGAGTCATAGAACTGAATGAAAAGGTGCGTTTTGAGATGGTTTTTAAAGGTCAAAGGGTAAAGAGTTCCACAAGACCGCGGCAGTGTGTGAGAAGGATCTGTGACCGAAGGTGTTAAGCTTGTAGGGAGGTACTGTGGGGAGATTCTGCTGTTGTGACCGCAGTTCACGGGCTGGAACATACGGAGTTATGAGTTCAGATATGTAAGGAGGAGACTGACCATGAAGTGATTTATAAGTGACACAAAGTATCTTGAACTGTATTCTGGCCCCCACTGGTATCCAGTGCAGTTGTTTAAGCACCGGCGTGATGTGAGTCTGTTCAGAAAAACGGTTTATTATCCGTGCGGAAGTATTTTGGACCTTCTGTAGCTTGTCCAGTAGAAGATCGCTGAGGCCAGAGTAGAGACTGTTGCAGTAGTCCAGTCTACTGAGAATAAGGGATCGGACAAGTGAGTGGGCAGCCTCGGTGGTGATGAGAGGACGGATATTGCCAATGGACCTAAGGTGGAGGTAGCACGTCTTACATAGGTTGTTGACTTGGGCTTCCATAGAAAGACTTGAATCAAGTAATACTATAATTGTTTTATTATAAAATGAAAGAGAAATGGGTTTTAACATAAACTTTTAATGCACACACTGTGCCATCTATCCGAGTGATCTGATTGGCTGAAAAGCGGGGGAAGCCCCTTCGTACGGGATTCCTTGTCTATTTTTAGTAACCCAAGTCAATATCGTAATTTATCAGAAAACTCAAGTCAATATCGTGTTTTGTAGTCAATCATGTGACGGTCTTTTGACCAATCGTGGTACAGGAAAAATACTACCTATATAATAATCCCAGATCTTTCACGGTATGAGAAGGCTGAATAAGAGAGTCTGCGACAGTAATACATTTATCAACACTGTGACGTCATAGCATTATCAGCTGTGTACTTAGTGATGTCAAAGCATTGTGAGGTCATTAACCGATGATGTAATAGCATTATGACAACTCAATTGTTGCGATATCTACAATGTCGATACCGTTTGTAGATATCGCTTGATCTCACAAAAGTGATATCTACTGTGGGAGCCAGTTTTGGATGATAAATAGAGGATACTTAAACGACCTTCCGTGTAATACTATTTTTATAAAACGAGTGAATGATTTGGTATCAAACGAGCGAAAGCGAGGTACTAAATTTTTCACGAGTTTAATAAATACATTTGTCTAAACATATGGTTTGGGACATCAATGAACGAATGAATAAGAATGAATAGTACTCGGTCACCTCTGAGTTGATCCTGATGCTGCGTTACTTTTGCACCTCCTCTTTAACGTTTATGAAATTGTCATCGTCTGCGTGAAGGTAGCCGTGCTCCAAGCCTGTACTGAATGCTAAGCCCATGGATGTATAGTAATTCTATCATTCGAAGAGGCAAGTGTAGGTAAGCTGACAGTACAAGGACCCCGGTCTCTTATTTATTATTTTTTAGTTATGATCATTCAAACTATTATGTTTTACCTTAGAGACTTGCGCAAATCTAGAGTGAAGGAACCCCGATTCCACCTGTGAATGTGAAGTCCCCAACAATCTGCTTGTCGAACATGTTGGCGGGCATGATTATCTTGCAGTTCTAAGCGTGAAGATGCGTCTCTGTCCATGAATGATCCAATGATCTCATATCCCTGTTTCGCAGACTTGCCAGATTGCCATTAAGAAGTTGTGTCCGACCATGAGATGAAATATCCACTCGTCAGTGAACAAAACACCACCCAAAGCTTGTCTCCTGTTCTGTAGATGTTGTGTGCACCAGGCAAGACGTACCTGTCGGTGACGTTGTCCAGAGCAAAATTGGATGTATCGCAGGCCGTCGAGGCCGGATGTTGTGCACCCTCGGTCGGTTCCGTTCATCCCCGGAACTGATTGGACGTAGGCCTAAGCCAGGAATGGTCCGAGCTGTCAAACTGACAGTCTGGAGTCGATTCTTAAGATGGCACTGATGGGTCAGCCGAATGTGGTTGTCTTGCTGACGTGCCGTCACACGTGGACGGACGGTCCGAGGCAAATCTCTCCCATTCCCATTACGTTGAAAACATCTCCATAGAGATGAGATCGTATTTCGATGGACACCAAAATGTCCGGCCACTTGATTTTGGACCATTGATTCCAGTCTCCAGTATATACCTATGGTGCGAAGACGCTAATATTCTGTACGCGCAGATTAGGTTGAAATTAATGTGTTTTCCATAACATTCAGAGGCTTGAGAATAGGCCTAATCAACCATTCTTGGTATTTTGATAACTTTTCAAATAACTTGTATTTCATGCAATTTTATGTTATGCACAGTTACGTTTTTCCGTTAGTATATGTCATTAATATTTTAGGTTTAATTTTTAATTACTCGTAATTAACAAATTCAGTATTGGTTAAAAATTTCCTCCATTATCAACTAAGACGTATAGTGGCTGAATGGACAACCACATATTATCAAGTGAATAAATTTAGTGCCTGGGTCAAAATAAAAGTGTAAGTTGTAGCATTACGTGCCATGCCTCAGTATCATTGATAAGCATTATTCATAAACGTGCCATACGTGCTTATCTCAAGTCACGTGATCGCACATGAACACACGCTGTTGACGAACCAAGATGTCTGCTTCTCTGTGCCGTCTGCTCAAAGCTCGAACTGTATTCAACGCTCTAAAACAACACAGAGCATGCATGTCAGCAGCCCCAGACCCTATCAGACAACCGGATATTAAATATGCTAAGGTAAGATGACAGTTTAATTGTACCAGTAGTCTATCTGTAAATAAAGTAAGTTCGCTTTATAACTTCGCGAAAACCCATAGCCATACCAGTGTTGTGGCAGTTCAGTGTTGTGCAGCAGTGCTTTGTTACTTCAACATGTAGCGGGGCATGTAAGTGTTAGGTCCAAGTGTGTCAGTGCGTCCTCGTTATAGGCCATAGAGAATAAGCAGAACGTCAAATAATTTGATACTTTTTTCTGGATTTTGTTCAGATGTACATTAGATAAGTGCTCTGTGTGAATTATTTCACAGTGGTGGCTTTTCTACAGTACTGGCTTTTTTACAGTAGTGTTTATGTCTAGGGCTCACATTCCCATAATTCATTCGTATACCCTCTTCCAATTCAACCACAAGGAAGTTATTTCACACAGGAACAAGGCCACTCTATTGTACTTGCATGTTTACAGAATGTATATATTGGAAGGTATAACAGTCATTCTCAGTTAAGTTGTACAAATGCTGTCGGACTGGTTACAGGCCCCGCTATCCTTACCGTGAAACCGTTTTTCCTATGAAATCGATAGTATTCAATAGTCAAATGTAATAGAAGTAAACTGCAATAGTCACAAACATTGGAGAAAATATTTGAAACTGACTGTTCCTTTACAGTTGGTTATGATTTTCTTGCTGTTGGCAAAACATATTGCCGTCAATGATTCTCTTCTAGATAATACTAATTAATTACAAGTCAACGTAATAAACCAGCATAATGAAATTTCAAAGTGTGCTTTTATATTTAACATAAAAATCAAGAATGAGAAAGAAACAAAAAGACAATTTTTTGTTTTAATTTTGTCGGTAGAAGTAACGTAATTTACATTATGGTAACTGATGTACATAACATTTACTACATGTAAACAAGTTTAGCAAGTAAAATGGGTTGTATTCTATGCCGAACACAATATTGCTTTCAAACAAATGTCAACTGATCAACAAGGAGAATTTATAGAACGAACTAACCCATTTTATCTTTAGTTATTGGAACAATTTTTTAAGGATGTAATCATACTTGACGGTCACAGTAAAATAAGTCTCATAGGAATCGATGCTGGCCCTAATCCATGTACATGGATGTTTCCAACATTAAATCACCAAAACGGAGTAATGTGGCCCTCATCCTGGACATTTAATATAAGGATGTAATTTACGTTTTGTAATTTACGTTTAGTAAATGTTCAGGAATTCCTTGCAAGTGAAAAAGTGCACCACAAATACCCTATGCAATCACACGTTGAAAGCAGTGGTCATTTCAGCACGTCATTCGAATGTGAACTTTGATGAACCGGAGTTTCCTGATTCATCCTGAAGTGGAATAAGTGTTTTTGAATGATAAGGATGACTGTACTGTCTTGACACATGCTGTATAATGATTCCGAGTTACATTTTTACAACATTACGATAATATATTGATTAATCAGTTTAAATACTTTCATAATTCAGACATGATTTATGAAAACCATTCTTTGCCTTCCAGGCATGTCCCTGTAACGTAAATTACAGGAAGTGTGACGTAAATTGCCTCTACATTAATCTTTTCTGTATAAAGCACAGGTGTATAAAGTAAGCTGAATGTTGAAGCATATGGTTTATCAAGTGATAAAGCAGTAAACCTGTGATTGGATCGTAAACAGAACTATTTTCAGTGTTTGATTATTTGTTGTTGTAGTTCTTTATATGATACTTGTGAAACTGCACACTTGGTATGATGATAATACTTAAAAACATGCATGTTTTATCCTTAAACAAATGGCTATTGGGATACTCTTCAAAGTAGTGATGTTATTGCATGCGATTCATAATAAAGCATTTATGAAGTAATGTATTAACTGTTAACGTAAATTACATTACTTTATTTGGGATTGTTTGGAAAGTGACGTTATGTTAAATGATGGAATCTATACATTATTGCTTGAATTGTGGTCATCTATTGCAGGTATTATAGCTAAATCTCAAGTAGAGAGACAAAGAGAATACAGAGAACGGAAAAATCAGAATTGGGAAACAAATGGAATAGGAAAGAATTGGAAATTGTTAAAAGTATTATAAGCAGACCAGTACACTGTTTAGAGCTGAAAAAGAAAAAAAACCGTAGAGAAAGAAACAAAAAGAAATGTCAGAAAATGTGGACAAAATGTAAAAGCCATTCTAGCTACAATGACCCAGAATGAAACAACTGCAGAAGTTGTTCCACGGGAGCCTGTAGTGACTAAAATGTCTGATGAGAATGGTGTGTCCAGTACAACACACGAACCTGTGATTTTAAAGGTCACATGCAACGTAAAACACAACTTTGCAGATTCTGATACCTTTTGGTGTGGACTTACCGAAACAAATCATCAAAAATGTGCAAATTCTACTTATAAAGATGAAAAATAACGCGATGAAAAAAAATGCGCGAAATCGTAGTTCAAACGATTCACTAATTTTCCCCAAGCGCTTGGGGGAATTCAAGTGGTTTCAACAGCTGGGCTGCGCTCATAGCACATGCGCAGTGAAATAGGTTCGCGCAGCTTGGAAGCGGGTTGTCCGGTGAATACTCGGTGAAGGCTTTGGTGTGAGCTATTTTTCTAATGTTTTGTTGATATTTCACAGGCGCGAGCTTTTTATATGTTATGACAGTAGATTAACTGTTTATATGATTTCATTTGTCTATTTCACCACACGTTCTTCTTACCGAGTCACTTTCTCAGTTCGATACTTAAAAGCAATGTCATTATTTAGTGTTGACAGAATTTCTAACTGTGATATAGATATGTCGTTGTCACAGACAAAACTCAATGTCTGTTTTATTGACACCTATGTGTCGGCCTGCCTATCAGCTAATGACCATATTCAATACACAACTGCGATCACTGACCACATGCAATTTGAACTTAACACCAATCAGGCTGTACACCATAAACAAAATGCATTGATTTATGGCCCGAGTTCGGTCTCTGTCACATTATGTAATTACACAGACAGGCAGGTGTGATACTTGTACACATGACATGTTATGATGTCTGTTGATTGCAAAATGTTATACGCAAAAAATGAGCATGTATTTACAAAACCCAACATCTCTATATATACACACACAATGAGCCGTGAGGGAATCTGCAAATGAACCAGCCGTTACACTTGAGTGCACACCCACCCGCTCTGACTGGGTTCGGTATCCCGGCTGCTTCGTTTCTTGGGAAGTAAACCCAAGTACACCATATTTTGCACTTTTGATTTGCGATTGTACGCTTATAATTTTGTTTATATGTTTTTTCATAACCAGCAATGTATATTATATGTCATGAATAAGTGATAATTGTGTTTTAATTATGTTTGATTTTTTGGTTGCATGTGACCTTTAAGCTACCCGCTTTTATTCATGTACAAGTTTCTATGTTTTATACGTTCATATACGTCAAATGTTCTCCGAAAGTTCTGCTTTGGTCCTTGCTTATGATAGTATAACCTATGCCCATTTATATTTAAAGTTGCAATTGTTGACTGGTAAATATAATTTACGTGAAAGTCGTATTTTGATCAGGGTCTATGTGACTAATGTTCAAGGTCAGGTTAACCATAAGTTGTTGGTTTCATTAATTAGTTGTCAATTTGGGAGAAAACCCTTCTAAATAGAAGCATTTAAGAGTTGCACCTTTTGTCATTGAGTAATTTACATCACTCAAAAACAGAATGAGTTGTTACACAGATGACTGTTAAGATCGTTAGGACCAGCATGTGAGATTATTGCCTAACATTCAATACAGTATCACAGTGACAGGTGATAATCAAACATGAAACGCAGCAATTCTGTTTTAGCCCTATCGTTGAGAAAGCGTATCAGTTTTAACAATGGCATTTGCTTTCATACCCAGTATAAAAAATCTGAAATAATAAAGTATACGCCCGGATGTTCATATTGCTTTTCCACATTGATGGCATGTGAAACTGTCTATCTTATTCTGCTGTTTTTGAAAATATCAATGTATTGCTATTTGAAAGGCAGCTGGGCATTGTGACTTGGGTGTCGTCACGTAAATTTCATTGTAACATCAGGGTACAGTAGTATAAAGAGCTGTTGCAGGGTAATTGTCTGTGCCTGAGTGCTGAATGTTTAGTAACAGGTTACCGAACATGAAACATTTTTTTCCCTCGAGTTTCCACTGGCAATTCAAGGAAGTCTTTGGAGTTCTGTGTTTTGGAGGTAGACATTGTTAGTTAATCAGTTAATACCAAGAATGAATTCTTATGCACTTACCATTATCTAAAAGCAATACATTGTACATACTCTAGTTTAGGTCAGAAAAAGATGTTGCTTCAACACAGGGAGTAGCATCAAGGTACTATATCCTATATGTTCCCACTGGGGGCTTTGTACTACATGGCTTTACCTGGACCTTCAAAACTAACGGGCCAGAAAACCTCCAATTTTGAATTTCAAGGGTCTTTACACTCAAATGACAGGACATATGAAGGCACTGCAAAGTAATGAAATGGTGGAAGGTAGTGAATCTTCTGAGATCAATATTCCACACCATCTCTGTCAAATATTTATGGTTAGATTTGGCAGTAGGGGATGTCAAACTCCATCAGAAAACATGTTTAGTTCCAAATTGAATTTGGTGAAATTAAATCAACAGGTAGCCTGGCTCTACATTGGAGACACAGTGTGTCTATCTCCTGGTTCTTCTATCAATTTGAAAAAATAATAGATTCTGATTGGTCAGCCATAACTTTCAATTTCAACCACCCATTTGCAACTCGGATCAAAACAGCTGATTTGATGCATTATCACAGAAGGTAAAGTACTTCTTTCTTGTCGTAAGGCTGAGCAGTCAGTTGCAGTTTGAATTCAGCATAGTTAAATTTAGTAGTACATGTACATTGAAACACATGATTTACAATTAACTTCTCTTTCCAGCTGTTCATTAACAACGAGTTTGTGAATGCTGCCAGTGGGAAAACGTTCCAGACCATCAACCCAGCCACAGGAGAGGCCATTTGTGATGTTGCAGAGGGGGACAAGGTAAAACTGTGTGACGGTCTTATCATTTGGCAAGGCTGGAAATTTAGCGATTGTAAATTCCATGCTTTAACATAGGGATGATTGTAACTTCCATGCTTTAACATAGAGATGATTGTAACTTCCATGCTTTAGCATAGAGATGATTGTAACTTCCATGCTTTAACATAGGGATGATTGTAACTTCCATGCTTTAGCATAGAGATGATTGTAACTTCCATGCTTTAACATAGGGATGATTGTAACTTCCATGCTTTAGCATAGAGATGATTGTAACTTCCATGCTTTAGCATAGAGATGATTTTAACTTCCATGCTTTAGCATAGAGATGATTGTAACTTCCATGCTTTAAGCATAGAGATGATTGTAACTTCCATGCTTTAACATAGGGATGATTGTAACTTCCATGCTTTAACATAGAGATGATTGTAACTTCCATGCTTTAACATAGAGATGATTGTAACTTCCATGCTTTAACATAGGGATGATTGTAACTTCCATGCTTTAGCATAGAGATGATTGTAACTTCCATGCTTTAGCATAGGGATGATTGTAACTTCCATGCTTTAACATAGGGATGATTGTAAATTCCATGCTTTAGCATAGAGATGATTGTAACTTCCATGCTTTAACATAGGGATGATTGTAACTTCCATGCTTTAACATAGGGATGATTGTAAATTCCATGCTTTAGCATAGGGATGATTGTAACTTCCATGCTTTAGCATAGGGATGATTGTAACTTCCATGCTTTAACATAGAGATGATTGTAACTTCCATGCTTTAGCATAGAGATGATTGTAACTTCCATGCTTTAGCATAGAGATGATTGTAACTTCCATGCTTTAACATAGGGATGATTGTAACTTCCATGCTTTAGCATAGGGATGATTGTAACTTCCATGCTTTAGCATAGGCTTAGGACAATTGTAGCGTTAAGACTGCTTGTTGAACATGGCCCAATGCTCCATTTAGATTCTAGTCTCTATTGTGTAGATTCATGCTTTTAAATAAGGTCATATTATTGAGTATATTGAAGGATGAATGTTGTGTAATCATTCATTTGATAGTTTGAAAATGCAAGAACAAAAAGACTCTGAATGCATTGCATCAATGCAGCAAACTCCTTGTTCATCAAATTATATTTACAAAGAAATAATTCCCCCAAAATATTTAGTCAACACAGGCATAGTTTCAATTCATTCCCTGTGCTACTTCTTGAGCCAATTTCTTTTTGTTCCAAAGCAGTTACCTCCCTCACATACTTAATTTGATTAACAATGCCTTCCTGCATTAGACAGGCATAGTTGTATATGAGCAAAACTAGGTCAAGCCACATTCCGCTTGTGATGAACCAGGGCATGGGTTTATCTGGCTCTGTTTATTGAAGAAACCTTTCTATGAAATGTCAGGTATTTCATAGTTTAACTGAAATATAACTGAACAATAAACAAAATATTGAGAATTATAAGAACTACTTAATGAATGTGACATGTAATAAACAGTGGTTAAAAAGTGAATAGATTATGCACATTCTCTCGTATTCAATTTGCCCACAATATAAAAATTACCCTTATCATGCTTTTGTTCCCTTGACTTAAACCATTTTAAGAAGAAAAACAATTTTTTCAGAATGTTATATCTACATTGACACATTTACAAGAAAAAAAACAGTTCTTGTTTGCTCTGATTATATATATACTCATTAGACCCTCTTTTTATGTTACTGCTGTTACTGCTACACTCCTATGGAAGATACGGAGTCAGCTGTAGTCACAGGGCTCTCTTTGTTTTGGGGATTATCTTTTGACAGACTTTATGATTTTTTAGGTTTCGTTAAAATATTTTACAAAGAGCTCACAGCTTGGACTCTTGTTTTGTTCAAGTTCTGATGATATCAAAACATCATCCTACAAATACAGCCTGAAATGTCCCGGTGACACAATTATTGGATAACCCCTATACAGACCTAAACATCATGATGACAGAGGCATGTTGTGCGCATGGTACTTGAAAACTATGGTGTGTCGTGACAGAATTATTGCACATCATTAACAGACATTTGCCACCTAGTATTGGAATAATGCACTTTCATCAACTTAATGTGAAAGGATTAGATGGATGCATAGGCATGCTAGAAACTGGGTTAGCACATGATTTTGAAAACATCTTTGGTGTCGTCCAGATCATCACAAGCAGGGCATGGTATTGATAGCAGGCATTGGGTCAAACAAATGTGGAATGAGCAGATCATCCTGTCATGAAGTCTTGCAGCTCTGCAGGAACCTGGCAATGTTCTTTCTGAAGAGTGCAACTTGCTTCTCTTGGCAACCATCCAGACACTGACTGGGAACATGACATGACAGTGCCAGGCTGTTATAGCATCACGTGCATCACGTGTATCACATACTCTACTGAGGGTTCCCTTTTGAGCCAATGAATTTGTTTTGGGGAATATTATTTTGATGTTTCGATTTTGGTCAAATACTCTCACTTTGATGGGTGATCTGACATTTTGTTCGTCACATTGTGTTCGAGGCATTGAACGGCACATGACAACAAAGTTCTTCACAAAACGTTGTCTTTGATTATTTCAACAGATGCACATAAATGTACATATTTCCTTTTTGATTTAGTGATCCTTAGCAAACTCTTAGTACTAAAAAAACTAACATAACAACGTTTGACAGAAATTGTCAGATAGTTGTTGACAAAATTAGATGTGCATGAGTTTCTTGTACATTACCCATAAATGCTGTTTCACAGAACTATTACACATTGACCTTGTCCATTGATATGGAATGATACCCTATTTTCTTTTAGAAATTAGAGTTTGATATTAAACCACTGGTTTGAAAATGAACAGTGAGATTTTTGTGTGTAAGAGGGAAGTGGTTAGGATACAAGTATATTTGATATCTCAGCTGTTGCGGTCACCTTGTTTTGCTCTAAGTCTGACCTGGTTTCCGTGTTTGCTTAAATTGATAGCCCAAGTCAAGGTTAGGCCTAAAAAAAAAAAGCTTGTGGTTCCGATTTCCCGACCGACCCTAAATATTCCCACCGAGCCTAACAATTTTACTCACCACATAATAAATTAAATTTATTTTCTGACACATGAGTAATGTAAAAATATTTTGCAAAAAAACCAATAAACCCTACCTACCTACCCTAGTTCTGAAATGTAGGAAATCGGAACCACAACATTTTTTTTTTTGCCTTAGCGATAAGATGATTCTAGTTTTAGCATATTTGTCGCGTCATGCCCCCTGTGAATGTTAGGCTGGGATTTACCCATGACTACCACTTGGTTAAAGGAGCAGCCTTTGTGGTGAAAGGTGTGTTTATGGATACTGACTTGATACCCCTTAGTCTTACTTCTGTTACCAGACAAGACAGAGGCTCCTGAACTAATAGCTGACATCATCATTATGAGCTTATGTTACAGTCATTGCCCTTGTCTGGTCTGCCCATGTGTTAACACAATAACTGAAAAAGCAATAGTCTGGAACGGTGGGGTACCTTTGTAATTAAAGCTTTAGTTTGTCATGTCAAAGACCTGTCTAATTTGTGTACAATTGTGTATGAGTTACAAAATGCAAATATGGATATTGAAAAGTTTGTTAGCTATGCAACAAAGTAAATGTAGTTTTTCATAAGTTGAATATCCAATTGTGTATACCAGGGCACCTTACATACTTCAAACAATACCAGTTAATATCAAGAAGTCTGTGCTGTTGATGATCAATTGAATTGCCCTTTCTACACATCTCAAGAGAAGAAATTGGTTTACTTAGCAATAGTGTTTGTTAAAAAGTAGGTTATAACCCAGCACAGATACCATGCTAATCTTGTTTGGCATGTCGGGCCAGACATAAAAGGGTAGTTAGATTCTTTGTCTATTTGTATCTTTTGAATCAGTTAGAAGAGCGTACAGAAAGATGAATGTGTAACTGTTTATATACCAGGTACGTGGAGGGCACCTTCTTTTATCTGGTCTGTGCTTTGTGCTTGCTGTCTAAGTGTTGAGCCCAACAGCAATACAATGTACATACAAGCTTTCATCAGAGAACTCTAAGTACACACATTATACATCTTGAGTCAAATCTTGAAAGGCTAGATAGACAGAATTTACCTTATTGTTAAATAATATCGACTTAGAAGGGAACTAGAGTAGAATACTGTACCTGCAAACCTCAAGGCCACGAGGGTCCACCTGATCAGTCATGCCACAAACAAACTTCCAGTGTATACAAATGTACAGTTTAGGCAAAGCTTACTTTTGACAACTTTGATTGTTTGAAAAATAAATGAATTTGACCAACCCACCGTTGTTCTCAATAGATTCTGTTTGAAGACTGCTTATATACAACTTCTTTACTTGAACTCAGGCCGATGTTGAGAGAGCAGTGCAAGCAGCAAGGGAGGCGTTTCGTCTTGGTTCCCCATGGCGACGACTTGATGCATCAGAAAGAGGGCGCTTGCTGAACCGTCTTGCTGATCTCATCGAGAGAGATGCTGGATACATCGCGGTTGGTAACAAACCTACCTGATCATTAAAACGGGATTACTTTCTTGAAGTTATAAGCATCAAAATTGGGTTGTCTGCATTTTGATTCATACAAGTTGTTGCATCATGCTAAATGATATCTTTTTTAATGATGTTGTTTGTTTGTGAAATTTGAATATGTCTACCCATCATGGCAGTCGCTGGAGACTCTCGACAACGGAAAGCCCTACCAAGTGGCCTTTGCTGCGGATGTCCAACTTGTACAGAAGTGCTACAGGTAGGATTCAATCTTTACCTGGAGCCAGACATATTGTTGTGGTAATGAATAGAATAGGGAGATTAGTGCTTAGTTTCTGAATATGTGTAAGTTTGATAGTAACATTTAAATTGAAAAGGAACCCCAGTGAGATTGGAAATTCAGAACCTGAGGAAATCTGGATTTGCTTCATTTAGGACTTTAGCATTGCAGGGATGGCAAGGCAGTAGGAAATAATGTGGTTCAGGGACTAGAAGACTGGCTTCATCAAAACGTTCAGGCCAGCAACTATGTTGAAGTTCTGTTGTGTATCTTGAAGTGATGATTGGTTTGTCACAGATAGTGAGTGATGCTTCATGATCATCAGTTGGCACCTTTAGTTAGGTGACTTTGGTTTTCAGAACCACATTACCTTTGGGGCTTTCTTATTACTATGCCAGCATCAGAAGACAAAAGCCCTTTTCAAACCACCCCTGACCAACGACTTATCTGTGTGCAAGTACTCTTTATAAGTATATTGGGGCGGTGGGGTAGCCTAATGGTTAAAGCGTTGGCTCGTCACGCCGAAGACTCGGGTTCGAATCCCCACATGGGTACAATGTGTGAAGCCCATTTCTGGTATCCCCCGCTGTGATGTTGCTGGAATATTGCTTAAAGCGGCCTAAAACCAAACTCAGTCTGTCAGTCAGTATAAGTGTATTTTGTTGCATATATACTCATTTTTACAGAAAATACTGTTAGGGTGCAGAGTATATGAGCAGACTTCGTATTCTGACTTTCTTTCCAAAGCAAAAACATGAGCATGGACATGTTATTCATGACAGTAGTTTGGGGTGAATCCCTTCAGTAGATCACATTGACTGTTATTTACTGCAACACTGACCACACTCACACAACTGGTTCCTATTTGTGGCCAACAACATGATCATTGGGACGTGGAAAATTCAGTAACCGCGGCCACCTCTGGAAACAACTAAAGCTTAATGTCCTGATTTATGTGTATCTCCATCAAGATCCGCAATCCTGAAATCTTCACTGGCTATCTGTCATGGCTGACTTCACCAGTTACTGTTAGCATATCCAGTTTCCGAATCGAGGGTCCCTCCTGTAGAGTCTTTATTGAGCAGTCACTTTGGCAGTTGTCTCCTATCATCCCTATAATTACTCCATAATGTAGGTTGATGGCTGCTTAGTCACCTGATACACTCTCATAGACAGTCCATTGTAGTTCTTCATGCCCATTCCCTCTACGTCTCAGTTGTCAATCATCAATTTGTCATACCTGCTGATGTTGACTTTACCTGACAAAGCAGAGATATGAGAAGAAGACATTTTCTCTCTATGGAGGATTATAAAGTCAACAGAAAAATAAAACAAGTATCATTTAAAATGACCGTTCCAAACTTGAAAACATGCAACTAAGAAAGTCAGAGAAAATAAGAAGTAACCCTGCTAAACCAGAAGTTATGAATCATGAATTAGTTTGTATGTAATTATGTATAGTACATGGTGGGCTATCTTCACTGCTCAAAATTACTACCATATGTATTTTTAAATATAGAGCTAAACTATATTTTTTAAAGCTGTTCATATTTTCTGAACTATAAAGAAACAAGAGAGTAAATTGGTGGGATGTTACTATTGTGACTTAAAGCCATTTGTGTAACATGCACACTCACATGATATTTCCCTTAAAGCTGATGCACACCTGTAGATGCCCAAGGCAACTGTTGGAGAACAGGACACAAAAGACCCCTTTGAACTTCGTAATTTTGAAGCTTCCTGTCTAGTTTTTACGTCACCAGTGTGTACTTTGTAAGATGCTTGTATCACTTGTACAATCCATGCAGTATTTGCATACATTACTGAAATCATGTTCTGTATGGCTAGATACTTGCTCTTACCCCCAGGGCATTAACTAGGTCCCCTGGACCCCCAGGACATTAACTAGGTCCCCTGTACCCCCAAGGCATGTACTCGGTACCCCAGTACCCCACCTATCACACAAATGCTGTTCTATAACAATACCCTTGTTGCAGGTACTATGCTGGCTGGGCCAACAAGTACCATGGGAAGACTATTCCCATTGGTGAGTATTTATGCCAATATTTTCTTTAAATGGTGTGTGATGCCACTTCGCTTTCGCTCGGTCAGATACCTTAGGAAGGACACTCGTTTCATATAATTTGTATGTAATGAGACCTCTTGTATTCTCTATGTATCCTTCATAACAACATTGGAAGGCCAGCTTGATATGAAGCATTGATGCCTTCTGGTTTCTTTGATACATGTGTACAGTGTGTGAAGGCCACTCGTGATGTTCCTCTTACAGCTAATCACGCACACAATCACTCAGGTTAATGTGGCTGACATATGATTGTTTGATATCCAGATGGAGATTTTTTCACCTACACCCGGCATGAACCTGTTGGAGTTTGTGGGCAGATTATTCCAGTGAGTTGCAGTCAAAACTACTTGATGTTATCAATCTGGGTTGTTCTATATTTTAATCAACAGCTTGTCAGTCCCTTGCCCTTCCTTTTTTCTTTTAATATGTTAAGCCAACATCTACAGACACACATAAAAGACATGTAATCAGCACTTTGTCATGTATCAGACATGATGGACTTTTGTTCTCAAGCTGAACTGAAAAACATGTTGAATGAGAGTCAAATGGGAACAATTTCACGATTATAATTTATCTTATGCCTGTGTAGACTGAACTATTTAATTTGATTTTTTTTGTCAATTTTGCCAATTATTACAAACAAAATAAATACATGTTTTCAAGTGTGTAGATGTAGTTGGTCTGGTGAAGATCTTTAAGCCGTAACATAGTCCCCTGTGACAAGGAAGGGATTGCATGCCATCAGTGCTCATAGTTTCAACCACTGATTTACCTGGTCATGACTCAAGAAGTATGGGTCACTTATATCAAAATATCAATATATCGTACATCACAGAGATTTACAAAGAGCAACTAGGAATTTCAGAGTAAAAAGAAAGAGATGTCAGTTGTATCACGTAAACTCCCAGGATCATCCTCTAAGTCAGTTATTCTATATATGCTATGTTAAAGGGCACCTGTCATATGGGTACAATTGATTTGTCATGACTGTAGTTAATGTGTCATGCCACATGAGTAAATAATATGAATTATTGCAATCCCTCAACCTGTACATCCTGTGGGTAATACACTGGGTGAGTGTCTGTTCCAGTGGAACTTCCCACTGCTGATGCAAGCATGGAAGCTGGGCCCGGCGCTAGCAATGGGCAACGTTGTGGTGATGAAGACAGCCGAGCAGACTCCCCTGTCAGCACTATATGTGGCTCAACTGGCTAAGGAGGTAGAGATACAGTCACAAGCTCCTATTCAAACACTGTCACAACTGGGCTATGTTTTGTCCCTGAAGTAATTGTTATTTGACTTAAGAGATTATTATTCAGCATCTATAGATAATACATAACCAGTGAAACAACTGTTGATTCAGTGAAATGTGTAGGTACTAGTGGTGGTCCGATTAATTGAAATAATCGAAGATTGGTCGTAGTGACTTAACGACCAAGCAATCGATCATGTTTTCTCATAATCAAACACAAACAATTTTGGAACACTTGTTTGCATTAACAATATTTTTCACAAAGTTGGTTTTGTCTGTTACATTTCATAAGCACTACAAGCTCGTTCCAAGTCATGATTGAATTTATCTTAAAGACACCAAGAAATATATGTTCCTAACATACAAGTCATCCTTTAAAGATGTGAAATTTTTGCGGGTAATGAACCAATCATCAATTATGAGATTTTAACCAATTCCCAACACTAGTAGGTACATGTGACCAGCCGGCTATTTAGAGTTGTGTCCCTTGGGTGTGTCTGAATCCTATCACTGTTGGTCTGAATCCCAGATTTGCCCTGGTTATCATTTTTGAATTGTCAGCACAACATCTGTTCTTGTAGATTTTCATGCAAATGTTTAATGTCCTAGGTCTGCATCACTTTTATTTTTCTTCTCATCTTAATGTCACATGACAGTCTGTATAAAATGGTGTTCTCGGGGACATCTAACCAACTGATTCACTCTGTGCAGTGTTCAGTGAATGGTATTCTGGTTGTGTTAATGGGGATCATCAAATATGGGGAGTCAGGGCACAGTGACATGAGTGTGATTGGCTGGTCAGACTCATTGTCATTGTAGGGGCGGTGGGGTAGCCTAGTGGTTAAAGTGTTCGCTCGTCAGGCTGAAGACCTGTTCGATTCCCCACATGGGTAAAATGTGTGAAGCCCATTTCGGGCGTGGTGCTGTGATATTGCTGGACTATTGCTAAAAGCAGCGTAAAACCAAACTCACTCACTCACTCATTGTACTCGGATAATCGGTGCTCATACTTTCCACCACTGGTTTGCCAGGCTACTACTTGAGTGCTACGGGTCACGTTATATACAAAGGTGGCTGTGGTATTAACACCATTCACTGATGCACTAATTAGGATGACATTCCACACAGCTATCTGGAATGAACGCAGACCTTGTTCCACAATGTTCATATATGTTCCTGTATTGTGCAGGCTGGCTTCCCTCGCGGGGTGATCAACATTGTGTCAGGATTTGGGCCAACAGCTGGCGCAGCCATTGCAGAGCATATGGATGTGGACAAAGTTGCCTTCACTGGGTCCACAGAGGTGAGCAGAAGGAAACAGGTTGTAATGTTTCTGTAGTCTTGACACATCAACATACACAATATGAGTGAAAGAAACGGCACTCTGGATGTCAAATATGTCCTGTATGTACTGTATTTCTCCCTGACCCACTTCCAGACATAATCTTGAAACTTTTGATGCAGGTGAGCTACAGACCTTTTAGTTGCTATTGTGGAACTGGGTTTGTTATCAAGGAGTGTATTTCATGTACTTGTAATGTAATAGATGTTGAGATGTGTCACATGAGTGTAGCCTTTATCAGTGGTAGCTGTTGCGTGTACAACACTGGATTGTTGTAACCTTGGATGACACCACAACTTGCCTGTACATGTAAACCTGTATAATGGCGTTGTCGTTCTGCATGGGTGTACGCCAGCTGATATGCTTACTTGGGGCAAGAAACAATTGTCATCAATGCTGCAAAATCATAAATGAATGAAAATAGTTTTGTATTTTATATGTTTGTTGGGGACAATTTGAAAGCAACACTTGAGAAACTTGGGTTGAAATTTAAGTGTTTCTTTCACAGGTAAACAAGAAAAACTAGTTGAACTTGGTCCATAAGTAGTACACCATTTGATATTTATAAGTATGATGATTGCATTATAAATAGAATTGTCAGTTGATTTTCCTAGAGGCCAGTGTTTAATCTCATCAGGCTTTCTTCTCAGATTGATGTGACATGTTGTGACACAACTAGCATACTGTTTGAATGTGTGTTAACCCTTCTCACTCAGTCAGTGCTAACATTCATTGATCCAAATGCTGTTTAGTGGAGGATTGATGTCTTTTACAAATTCACTACCATCAGTGTTGTTAAGAGTCTATTTTGTAGTTGTGTAACTGATAAACATAAAGCTGTCATTTATGTTAGAATTTATTTCTTTGCTGTCGTAGTGTTTTATTTATCTGATTGACCCAGTACAATTTTTACCATGCATGATGTTTTGATCGTCCTTGGCCCGCATTCACTGTACAGCTCAGTGCAGCTGGTGCTGCAGGATTGGCTGCTCATGTGTGAACTCTCTCTCCTGTAGCTGCGTAGAGTCCTGCCCGTTATCTATTGTTAACTGTGCACCGAGCCCCATCAGCTACCCCCAGGCATGTAGGAGTGTCCCAGATAATGTTGTCTGGTATCATTAGTATGAGTGAGTAATCGCCATCACATGACTTGCAGTATTGTTTAGATAAGAATAGGTCACCTTAAACTTAGCATTTTTGCACCCCAAACCCTCACTCAGTAAATCTTCTGCGTGCTGAACCTAGTGACTATTTAATCTGAGATGACTTTAAACAAAATTTTGAATATATTTTATATTAACCCAGCCTTTTTAAGTGCAAGTGCAAATTTTCATTGCAATATTTTAATCTTTTCAAGAAATTAATAAATTGGAACTTTGTTCAAAAGTTTGTTCAGCCAGTAACCTGACAACTAAAGGTTGGAATGTTTGGACTTGGATATTTGGAAACCACCTTTTTTGTTTAAAAGAGAGGTCCAGTGCACTTTTTGATTACGATATTTAAATTCATTCATGAATTACTACAATCCAAAAATTTGAACTTAGATAAATTTGTTCAACTGAAAAAATATTTGTTAGAATGTTTTGACATTTGATGACCACCTTCTTTGTGCAATGCAAAATGTGGTTCGATTTCCTAATTTTTGAAAGAAAGTTGCATCAATATACATATTTTCAACTTTATAAAGTGTGTACAACCGGGAGGTCAGTGTTGTTGCTTGATGTTCATAGGATTGTGCATAGACTTGTTAGTCCTGCCAAATATTCACACTAATTTAGCAAGGATGAAATCTCGACTTCACTCTGTTTTGGCTATTGACAGTCACAACATCATATGCTTTAAAGAATGCCTTGACTCTAAGTTCGCTAGCCTTTTGTCATTGTGTTGACAAGATAAACTTGCCTCCGACTGTTTTCAGTACTGTTGACTGCTGGTGTCACTGGGAGACACTGATTTAGGTAATTGCTGAACATGGAATTAATTACTGGCAGTTTGGTCCATGGGGTATTCATTATCAGTATGTTATATTTGTTAGTTTGTACATAGTAATGAACTTGATTTTAAATGACAATAATTTTGTTCCCAGGTCTGTGTCCTTTATAAATGTTTGCTTCTGCAATGGTAAGATATCACCCTTGTTTTCTTTTCCTCTAGGTCGGGAAACTCATCCCACAGATGGCGGGACGCTCGAACCTGAAGAAGGTTACCCTCGAACTTGGTGGCAAGTCTCCAAACATCATCCTGGCTGATGCCAATAGTGAGTGCTCACTCCGACTTTCACCCTCATGTTTGTACATTTGTCAGCACCATACTCTTTGTGATAAGCCTGAGCTAAAGCTGTAATGTTGCGGATTTCGGTGTAAACCATTACACTAACTCCTTGAGATTCATACTAATAATTCTTCATCTCCCTGTGTCTAGTGGATGAAGCTGTGGAGCAGGCCCACTTCAGCCTCTTCTTCAATCAGGGGCAGTGCTGCTGTGCAGGGTCAAGGACATTTGTGGAGGAGAAAGTGTATGATGAGTTTGTTGAACGCAGCCTGGAGCGGGCAAAGAACAGAGTTGTTGGCAACCCTTTCGATAATGTTGAACAAGGTCCTCAGGTAAACCCTTTTGATAATGTTGAACAAGGTCCTCAGGTAAACCCTTTTGATAATGAACTAAGGCCTTGGGTAAAACACCAGGAACAATGTTGAAGAAGGACCCCAGTTAAAGCCCTTCAATAATAATAATTGCATTGATGACCTACTGGTGCAGGAGTTAAGCCCTGCGTATGACATGTCCCTGCGTACATGTCATGTATGTCTGTGGCTGTTCCAGGTGGATGAGGAGCAGATGGGGAAGATCCTGAGTCTCATTGACAGTGGAAGGAAGGAGGGAGCCACACTGTGTGTTGGCGGCAACCGCCGGTCGAGTCGGAGATCGGGGTTACTTCGTGGAGCCAACCGTCTTCAAGGATGTGAAGGACAACATGACAATAGCCAGGGAAGAGGTGTGTTTGGGGGAGCTCATCAATGTTTTGTTTGTCTGTTTTCATCATTCACATAAAACATTTTTCATGACAAGGCAACAACTTAGATTATATTGTAATGCAATGTTCTGTTGTGCTTGTATTTTTCTTTGTAAAGATGTTGAGTCATTTGTAAACATTACAGACCTAGGTGCTGTAGCACAAAGCAATCTTAGCGCTAAGGTGACCGTAACTCCCATACCTTAACATAGACTTTGGTAGGCTTAGCGCTAAGGTGACCGTAACTCCCATACCTTAACATAGACTTTGGTAGGCTTAGCGCTAAGGTGACCGTAACTCCCATACCTTAACATAGACTTTGGTAGGCTTAGCGCTAAGGTGACCGTAACTCCCATACCTTAACATAGACTTTGGTAGGCTTAGCGCTAAGGTGACCGGAACTCCCATACCTTAACATAGACTTTGGTAGGCTTAGCGCTAAGGTTGTTTTGTACAATGATACCCTGTTTGATAAATTAGGATTTTGTAGTTTGTCAACATCACATGATGCATCATTCAACTGAGTTTGTGCTCTGCCATCCTGACTTGCGGCTGATACCACTGCTCTACGTTCTCGTGCCCTTCATAAGTGGTTAACTGATTTCACTCCCAGGACTTGTCCTATACAGCTTGTAGTTCATGCTATCTATTCCTTTGTGGTGGCTAGATCTTTGGACCAGTGATGCAGATCCTGAAATTCAAGAACGTGGATGAGCTGATCGAGCGTGCCAACGACTCAGAGTATGGCCTGGCTGCAGGGGTGATGTCCCAGGACATCGACAGGGTCATGTACATCGCCAACAGTCTGAGAGCAGGAACTGTCTGGTAAGGGCATGGAGTGAGGTACTGAGTGATCCAGCTGAAGTATGAACACCTAAAAATAACTGAGTGTGCCGTCTGGACCATTTCAATTCCAAAAACCATCTTTGGTATATAAATATACAAGAAAAATGTCTCCATACCCAGGACTAAATATTGGTTAACTGGATCATTTCCAATGAATGGCATTCTCCAGTGTAGGATTTTACGATGAAATTTGAACATCTATGAAATGAACATATTCATGACATATATTTGACCAGCATCTTTCAGTCATTGTTTATTTACAAGTGTAGATTGAGCACATGAATTTCTGGGCTGTTCCCAGAATCAGTCTTAGCATTTGACTGTGATAAATCTGTACTTACGTGTGCTTGTTACAACAATCTTGATGATAAGACTGTCCAAGTAAACTTAGGCTCAGTATTATTCGTTACACTGCTATACTGAGTCTAACAAGCCCTAGGAGACTGGATGATTAGATCACATTGTGGAATGTACACTATGAACATTCCTGGTTGTTAGGTTGAACTAAGAAAGGGCATTCAGATGCTGTCATCTCAAAGAGAACTGTCTGAACATGTGTCAATGTGGGCATGGATACTTCAGCTGATTTGGTTTCAGTTTATGCCATATTATTTTATGAAGAACATGCAATTTTTCATTGAAAGGAATATAAAATACAATTTTTACTAAAAAAGACAGTTTCAACTTTTCATTAAGGGTTGGTGAAATCTGGAAGCCTATATGTCAGAATATGAACATTGTAAGTGTGAATTACATTGTTTAGGTAGTGTGAACGTCTTTGATGTGTTGGAATATGATCATTGTAACAGTGAATCACGTTGTTCATGCAGGGTCAACTGTTTTGATGTGTTTGATGCCGGAGCACCATTCGGTGGCTACAAGATGTCTGGCAATGGCCGCGAACTCGGGGAATACAGCCTTGAACTGTACACAGAAGTGAAAACAGTAAGTTACAGCTGTAGCTGTTTAACTGGTTGTTCCACCAATGATGGTAGAACTGTTGCATTCAGTGGTTGGTTACACTGCATGGTCAGGAGGAGAAGATTCTGTCTTGTAAACTGCACAATATATGTTCGTTATGGTTCAAGCTGCCTAGTAACGCCAGCCAACCACCTCCCCAAAGAAACTTGTTGCTAATTGGCAGTCAAAACAATGACCAATTTATTTTTCACCCACTGCAGAAATACTTTGCAGTTCATTTTTGTGTGGGGAGGTGGGTTAGCCTAGCGTTCACTTGTCATACCAAAAACCTGGGTTCGATTCCCCACATGGGTACAATGTGTGAAGCTGCCCCTTTCCATTAAAGGTGTGAATTTGTATGCAAAACAACGTGATAGTCTTCCAGTGTTGGGTATTGAAATAATAAATAGTAGATACTGTTGGGTACAGGGTATTCATCGCTGTGTACCATATTGACATTTAATAGATTGTTCCCAATTTTGAGTTATTTTGAAATTCATCGTTCTCATTTGGAGACAGACTAGTTGATATCACAGCATGGTCAAGGGGAGATAATTCTGCTGTTATGCAAGGTTACAGTGTTCTCTGCTGTTATGCAAGGTTACATTGTAACAGGTGCTCCAGGTGCCTTGTATACATATGACGCTTCAGACCCACACCTGTAATGAGACCAAAAGGGGGGCACACAGTGGATGGGTATTGTCCAGATAACTGTTGTTATTTATTGATTATATTTCAGCAGCTGCTTCTATCTATAACAGCATTGCATGCATTATCATTGTGTACGCGTCCAGAGTCTGATTGTATCATTGTATCTTGCAGGTCACATCAATCTTCGATCATGTGATTTATCTTGCAGGTCATGTATTATTATCGTATCTTGCAGGTCATGTGATTGTATCATCATATCTTGCAGGTCATGTGATTGTATCATTGTATCTTGCAGGTCACCATGAAGCTGTTGCAGAAGAACTCCTAAATGTCACAAGGTACAGATGGACATGGCTACTACCATATCGCCACTATCTTGTAGAATGGACTCTGCCAGGCATTGTTATGGGGCATCCCATTAAGTACAATGAGGCTTCAGGATCAGATCATTTCACTATCATCATAACAATATATCTTGTATTTAACTGAATGTCAAGAGCATTTAATTTGTTTTGTAACAAATGTATTTGTGACAGGGTAATATTAGTAGATGTGTGGAAGTCTGGTGATGCCATTTCTTAACTGAGATGTGTATGTGTAATTAAAGGAAAACAACTACACAACGTCTCCAGTAATAAATAATGTCTTTGTGTTAATATGGCTCCAGGTGGACAAGTGAATTTTTGATCAATTTTGTTTGGAAAGTTTTTGTTGTCTCATGCCTTATATTGCTAATTGTGTAATACCTCAGATTTCATATTCACGTGGGTGAGGTTCCCCAGAAATCCAAGCCTAAATACATGTTATTGTTCTTGTTGTATGACACAAGGATTAGACTGTGTCAAGAGATATGTCATGGTTCCCAGATACGGGATCTAGTTGTTAGAAGTTATTGTAACTGATGTTATGGAAGGATGAAGAATATCCTGGATTGGGGAAATTGTTGGTATTTCTGCAAAAATATATTTTATGTACTAAATCCTCCCACTTTTGTCTGTTTAGTGTAACAGCCTTAGTTAGTGCTACTGTTACTAAGGATTCTATATATTTTATACAATCTTGTTGATAAATGAAACATTGCTGTAATTTATGCACACTGTATTTGTAATAAAATCTAATGCTAATATAACAATCATCTGGTTTTTATTGTTTGTTTTGTATGGGCGGTGGAGTAGCCTAGTGGTTAAAGTGTTTGCTTGTCACGCCAAAGCCCAGGTTCGAGTCCCCACATGGGTACAATGTGTGAAGCACATTTCTGGTGTGTCTGTCTCCTCACCCAAAACACACACACACACACACACACACTAGCTCCACCGCCACCGCCACAGGCATGCAATGACTCTTTATTTCTTGTAAAATGATTTTTATCCCACCGGCATGTAATGCGGTGGGATATAATCGTCGCCCTCGTCCGTCTGTCCGTCCGTAATCATTTTGTTTCGGAGCATTACTCAAAGACCGTTCGATATTTTTAACCACAATTGGTAGATATGTCAAACATAACCTAAGGTGGTGCCTTTTGCTATTTACAGATTATTGTCATTTTTATTTTTCTCGGTTTCCATGGAAACATTTTGGACTTAGTCCCAAAAGTGAGGGTGGGCTTCCGTTTCCAGAGCACAACTTCGAAAACTTCTCAATGTCTTTCAGCAAAACTTGGCAGATATGTGAGGCAGATCCCAAAGTGGTGCCTTTTGCTATTGCAGATATTTGTGATTTAATATTTTTTGGTTTCCATGGAAATGATTCAGACTTAGTCTCAAAAGGAAGGGGTGGGGTTTAGTTTCGGAGCATTACTCAAGAACCATTCAATATTTTTCAACAAGACTTTGTAGATATATCAAACACAACCTTAAGTGGTGCCTTTTGCTATTTACAGATTTTTTAGCATTTTACTTTTCCGGTTTCCATGGAAAGATTAGGACTTAGTTGCAAAAAGTGAGGGGGTGGAAAACCCGTTTCGAGCATAACTCAAGAACCGTTCAATATTTTCAACAAAACTTGGTAGATTTATGAAACAGAACCTTAAGTGGTGCCTTTTGCTATTTGCAGATTTTTGGCATTTTATTTTTCTTGGTTTCCATGGAAACATTTTGGACTTAGTCTCAAAAAGTAAGGATTGCTTTAGTTTCGGAGACACAACTCAAAACCAGTATAATATTTTTCAACAAAACTTGGTAGATATATCAAACACATCCTAAAGTTGTGCCTTTTGCTATTTGCAGATTTTTGGCATTTTATTTTTCCGGTTTCCTTGGAAACGATTTGGACTTAGTCCCAAAAAGTGAGGGGTGGGCTTTGTTTCCAGAGCACAACTCAAAACTTCTTCATATCTTTCAGCAAAACTTGGCAGATATGTGAGGCCAGATCCCAAAGTGGTGCCTTTTGCTATTTGCAGATATTTGTGATTTATTTTTTTCTCGGTTTCCATGGAAATGATTCGGACTTAGTCTCAAAAGAAAGGGATGGGTTTCATCTCCCACGAGACACAACTGGAAAACTTCTTAATATCTTTCAGCAAAACTTGGCAGATATGTGAGGCAGATGCCAAAGTGGTGCCTTTTGCTATTTGCAGATTTTTGTCATTTATTTTTTTTTCATGATTTCCATGGAAACAATTTGCACTCAGTCTAAAATCAAGCTGGACTTTAACTGTCAGATGATTTGTTCTTTCAAAGATGTGGAGGCCGGGGGATATGTCATCTTCTGATGACTCTTGTTTGATATATCTATTATTTGCCTTTTTTGAGACAGTTATTGATGTAAACATGAGTCATCAAAAGATGACATAAATTTGAAAGAACAAATCAACTGACAGTTACTTAAAGTCCAACTTGATTTTTGTGGACTAAGTCCAAATTGTTTCCATAGAAATCATGAAAAATAAAAATGCCAAAAATCTGCAAAGAGCAAAAGGCAATACTTCAAGATCTGTTTGATATATCTGTCAAGTCTTGTAGAAAGATATTTAACGGTTTTCGAGTTGTGACCCGGAACGAGACCCACCCCTCCCTTTTGAGACTAAGTCCGAATCGTTTCCATGGAAACCAAGAAAAACAAGAAGACAAAGTCCACATTATCCCCCGCAATGGCAAAATACTCTTCATGATTATGTCTACGAGTTATGATTATGTCAAATATTTAGGTGTGTATATAGAAAAGTGGAAGAAGAGTATTGAAAGGTTCTTAAAGTTCTGCTCCAGAAAGGAGAACTATCACAAATTTCAGTCTATGTCAAACTTGTTGCCATGGAAATGCCAAAAATATTTTATTCAGAAATCCAAAACTACCAAAAGGCACTAGGACACCACCAGATCTATGTATGTGCCAAGTTTGGTAAAGAAACATTGAATGGTTTTAGAGTTCTGCTCCGGAAAAGACAAATGTGCACAGACGGACAGACGGACGGAGTCCATTTTAATACTCTCCCCGCAAAGCGCGTTGCGGGGATAACAATCAGTACAGCAATAAGCCATCTGTATTTAGGATGATTCATAGTAACAGCTGCACCTGAACCCTGAGTCACTCGCCCTCCTCACAAGTCACATACACCAGTCACTTACTGGAGTGTTATAAACCTGGTCAATACATCCCTGCCTCTCACATCTCGGCCTCCATAACATGTCACATACACCAGTCACTTACTGAATTCTGAATAAAATAATTTTGGCGTTTCCATGGCAACAAGTTCGACTTAGACTGAAATAGGTGGTTGTGCTCTTTTTCGGAGCAGAACTCTAAAACCGTTCAATATGTCTTCACCAAACTTAAGCACATAGATAGATCTGGTGGTGTACTGGTGCCTTTTGGTAGTTTTGGAATTCTGAATAAAATATTTTTGGCGTTTCCATGGCAACAAGTTTTGCTGAAAGATATTCAGAAGTTTTCGAGTTGTGCTCCGGAAACGAAGCCCACCCTCCCTTTTGAGACTAAGTCCGAATCGTTTCCATGGAAACCGAGAAAATAATAACTCACAAAATCTGTAAATGGCAAAAGCACCACTTTAGGTTCTGTTTGATATATCTACAAAGTTTTGCAGAAAAATATTGAACGGTTTTGAGTTATGGTCCGGAAACGAAGCCCACCCTCCCTTTTAGACTAAGTCCAAATCGTTTCCATGGAAACCGAGAGAAATATCAATGACGAAAATCTGTAAATAGCAAAAGGCACCACCTTAAGTTCTGTTTGATATGTCTACCGATTTTTGTTGAAAAGTATTGAACGGTTTTGAGTTATTCTCCGGAAACAAAATGATTACGGATGGACATACGGACGAGGCGTCGACTATATCCCCGCATTACATACCGGGGAGATAAAAATGTTTGATATGACAACTACAATATTATTTGGGAGTCTATGAAGTTCAAATTGTCACAACTGGTCCAGGAATGTGAGTGAAGTACTGAAGGGAAATCAGGCAGTTATGACCTGGTTGTAATATTCAGCTTATCCTCAGAATGTCAACGGCTTTTGCCTTGCTAGGATTTTACTCCCATGTGGCTTTGGGATGACTGTAATATTGGTCACTGTGTTGTGAAACAATCTAGTTGCCCACTCACAACAGAATCGCCAGTTTATCTACAAACAGATCTACTTGATTCCCAAATCTTCACCTGATTAGCCATTGTGACATTGGTTGTATTTGGGAATACACTTTCTCAGTAAAGTACAGACCCGTGAAGATCCGGGTTTGAATTGATTTTCAGTAACCCATGCTTGTAAGAGTCCCAATTGCGTAGATCGATGTTCATGCTGTTGATCACTGGATTGTCTAGTCCAGACCCCATATAGCTGAAATATTGACGAATGCCTTGTAAAACTGAACTCACTCACTTACTCAGTAAAGTACAGATTCTAGTACTTTTATTGGGTGACTCTATTAGTGACTCTATCAGTGACTCACTCAACCAAAGTACTTGCTAGAATCGGTACGTTACTTAGGGTAATCCCAAATAACATTATGTTACATTTTTTTCAATTTCTAAATGGCATTGGGCATTCGTAGTAGTAGTGGTTGTAAGCTCGAATCGGTATCAGGCTAGACCAGTCGCTAAGGACTCCAAAGTCAGCCCAGGGTCTCGTAACTCGAAGCAGTCGTTAAGTCTGCTCCTCACGCATGGTTAACGGACGCTTTAGTAACGTCGTTTAAAACCTAAGTAGTGTATCACGAAGCATTCGCTAAACAATCCTTAAGCGTAAATTCGTTAGGCGTTCCTTAAAAACGTAACTCGAAATATAGACAGCTAATGGCAAGGTTAAATACAATGGGATTCCCCGTTAATGCTCTCTTATTCTATTTTAAATTGTTATGATATTCATTGCTTTGTATGAATATCACAGTTTTGAAAATATGTTTCATCATGACAAATGAAATATTGTTTTTAAAGGAAGTCTTTTATTCGAAATAATTACAAAGATTAAACATGTTGAATTTTGTTTTACACGTTGCTCTTTTCTGTTGAGCTTTCATTTGCTTGAAGATATTGTTTTAATTAAATTAACTAAAAACCCGTTTTTTGTGTGTGTTTTCACGAATCAAGAAGTCATCATCATCCCTCATCTTCATTGTCATTTGCAATGCAAATATTGTGCAGCATTGCGGTTGCAACTATTATGTTGCAACATTTTGAAGGTTCAAATAGCATGCACCCTCCAGATTCTCCAGACAATAAATTCTCATCTTCCATGCACCGATTGTCCTTTCACTTGTGTTTCGGGTTTTACGCTGAGAGATGTTATTCCATTGTTCATTTTGGTCTTGGGTGTGTGTGTCAGTAAAAGAGTTATCATCCATGGAGCACATGCTGACAGGCCATTGTGCAACTATGTTTGTGATTTGCAGTTGAGCCCATTCACAACACTCATGAACATTTCTGCCATGGTATCCTTTCCTGGACACAGACAAACGGTATCCTTTCCTGGACACGGACAAACGGTATCCTTTCCTGGACACGGACAAATGGTATCCTTTCCTGGACACGGACAAATGGTATCCTTTCCTGGACACGGACAAACGGTATCCTTTCCTGGACACGGACAAACGGTATCCTTTCCTGGACACGGACAAACGGTATCCTTTCCTGGACACGGACAAACGGTATCCTTTCCTGGACACAGACAAATGGTATCCTTTCC